AACCAAGAATCAATAAATGGTATGGGATGGATTCAAACTAAAAAGCTTCTTCTCAGCAAAAGAACAATCAGTGAGGTGAACTCTAACATATCATCTCACTCCAGTCAGAATGGCAGCTATTTTGAAGACAAACAACAATTAGTGTTGGCGAGGATGTGGGGAAAAAGGTACACTCATACATTGCTGGTGGGACTGCAAATTGATGCAGCCAATATGGAAAGCAGTATGGAGATTCCTTGGAAAATGGCGAGTGGAACCACCATTTGACCCAGCTATCCCTCTCCTTGGACTATACCCAAAGGACTTAAAAACAGCATACTACAGGAACACAGCTACATCAATGTTTATAGTAGCAAAATTCACTATAGCTAAACTGTGGAGCCAACCTAGAGGCTCTTCAGTGGATGAATGGATAAAAAAAAATGTGGCATATATATATAATGGAATTTTACTCAGCAATAAAAGAGATAAAAATCATGGCATTTATCAGGTAAATGGATGGCGTAGGAGAAGATAGTGTTAAGTGAAGTTAGCCAATCCCAAAGAAACAAATGCTGAATGTTTTCTCTGATATAAGGAGGCTGACTCATAGTGGGGTAGGGAGGGAGAACATGGGAGGAATAGATGAATTCTAGATAGGGCAGAGGGGTGGGAGGGAAAGTGAGGGGGCAGGGGATTAGCAAGGGCAGTGGAATGTGATGGACATCATTATCCAAAGTACATGTATGAAGACACAAATTGAGTGTCAACATACTTTATATACAGAGATATGAAAAAAATGTGGCATATATGTGTAATAAGAATTGTAATGCATTCTTCTGTTGTGTATTTAAAAAAAATAAAATCAATTAAATAATAAAAAAAGAACCTACAGAATGGGAGCAAATCTTTACCACAGCACATCAGATAGAGCACTAATTACTAGACTATATGAATAACTCAAAAAGCTAAACACCCCAAAAAAAAAATCAACAAAAAACAAATAACCCAATCAATAAATGGGCCAAGGACCTGAAGAGACACTTTGCAGAAGAGGATATACAATCAATCAACAAACATGAAAAAATGTTCATCATCTCTAGCAATTAGAGAAATGCAAAACAAAACTAAGATTTCATCTCACTCCAGTCAGAATGGCAGCTATCAAGAATACAAACAACAATAAGTGTTGGCGAGGATGTGGGGAAAAAGGCACACTCATACATTGCTGGTGGGACTGCAAATTGGAATAGCCAATATGGAAAGGAGTATGGAGATTCCTTGGAAAACTGGGAATGGAACCACCATTTGACCCAGTTATCCCACTCCTCAGTTTATACCCAAAGGATTTAAAAACAGCATACTGCAGGGACACAGCCATATCAATGTTTATAGCAGCACAAATCACAATAGCTAAATTATGGAACCAACCTAGATGCCCTTCAGTAGATGAATGGATAGGGAAACTTTGGTGTATACACACAATGGAACATAACTCAGCATTAAAAGAGAATAAAATCATGGCATTTGCAAGTATATGGACAAAGTTGGAGAATATATTGCTAAGTGAAGGAAGCCAATCCCAAAAAACCAAAGGCAAAATGTTTTCTTTGACATGAGGATCTTGACTCATAATGGCGATTGGACGGGGGGGGGGGGCATGGAAGAAATGGAGAAACTTCAGATAGGGCAATGGGGAGGGAGGGGAAAAGAGGGAGCAAGGGAGTAGGAATGATGATGGAATGAGTTAGACATCTTTACCCTAAGTACATGTATAAGACATGAATGGTGTGAAAATACTTTATGTACCAGTGTCTTGAAAAACTGTGCTCTATATGTGTAAATGAAATGAATTGCATTCTGCCATCATGTATAACAAATTAGAATAAATAAAAAAAATAAAATGGTCTAAGATTAGTTGTAACTATATACTGCAAACTATAAGACAACTGCTAATATATGTTTATATATTATATGTAATATATTATATAAAATATGTTTATATATTATATATATAATACATCTATGGATATAAGGATGTCTGCATAAGTAATTAACATGTTAATGTGCAGAGTTGAGCAAAAATCTGACCCAAAGCTTAAGGTAGCAAGGGAGACAGATGCGATACCAAGGCAGAGAGAGGTTTTCTATGCCACTTTTCAGCCAAAGTATCCATTAAGTCCCTGAAAACCAACCTAGGCTAACTTTGTCATTATGGCCAACACGTCAGAAGTATCATCTACAGCAACACTAGTGTAAGACTACTAATATATTGCTCAACAGTGTGACTTCCAAAATTAGTCATTATTAAAGTCAACTAAAAGCAAGAGAAGTTAGAGTGTTTTCCCTATGAAAAGTTCTGTGGATCTCAGGGTCAGAGGATTCCCTCATGTGGGATGTTTGTGCTGACAGAATGAGGAACCTGTGGTACAGGGTACTGGGCCAGATAATTTGAGCTAAAGTAATAAAAAGTACATTTAAGAATGCTGTAACACCAGCAAAAACAAAGGCCCATGTTCAGACCTTGCCCTCTGGGGTTCACTTTCTGCTCTGTACTGTCCTCCATAATTTGGTCCCTAACAACTGCTCCAGCCAGGCAGAGGCAGGAGAGAATCAGCTTTCTAAAGGCCAAAGTCTGAGAGAGAGTATGGCTTTATACTGTGTCACCTGGCTCATTACATGCTGCACCTAGACACCAGTGCCATGTTCAATCCACCATCCCTCATCATCCTAAATTCCAGAGCCTTTGCAACAATCCCATTTATACATGGTTGTGCACTTTAACCCCCTTGGTTCACCTGTCATGGGTTGGTCCTTGTCCCTGCTCTGTCTTGCACCCTGTATTATATTGGGAGTATGCAGAGGAGATAAACTGAGTTCATCCCTGAACACTCTAACATGTTATGTTTGAGAATAAATGATCCTGTCTCTGAACTTCTACTGTATTATCAAAGTCTGGTGACTCATGGCAATGAGACGGTGGTAGTGGCAACGGGAGGTTTGAGACTAACCAGTAGGATTATACACCAAAAATGATGTGTGTGTCCTGAGGCAGGACAGGGGAGGAGACTGGGTCTACTATGGAAAGTGAATGACATGTGAAGGTCATAGAGTCATGGCCAGGAAAGACATGGGAATCTGTCTTCACTGGAGACATCCTTGCCTCTTGTTTTCATTTCCCTCATCCTCTAATTTAAAGTGCAGAAACCAACCTTTCCCTCTAGTTGTTTCCTCAAAGGGCTGGTGTCGAGAGCCCCCTTGTGTCTAAATGAATTAAAACCCCAAAGCACTGTTTGCAAAATGACTACATAGTAAGCTGTCAATCAAAATCAGGCATTAGAGGTATTAGATTGTAAAAACATACCAAGATAATAGTATAAAGTAGCCCAATTTCACTGTCATTCCATAAAACTTAGTAATACAATCTCTTGAGAGTGATCAAGTCAATGTCCTGTCCCCATATGTAAATCAATCTCCGAATGAGAGTAAAATGTTTCTCCTTCCAGAAGAGTTCAAAGGGAGCAGTGCAAGACTGCCCTCACTTCTGACACCAACTGCAAGTTCAAGGGCTTCCCCAAACCATCCTCAGGTTGACTAATTCACTAGACGGACTCACAGAAAGCTGCTATACGCACAGCTATAGTTCTGTAGATCTCAGTGTCAGAGGATTCCCTCATGTGGGATTTTTGTGCTGACAGAATGAGGAACCTGTGATACAGGATCCAAATGAAAAGTAGCCAAGGAAAGAGATACATAGGACAGAGTCCAGGAGGTTCCAATTTAGGGTTTCTAAAGTCCTTTCTGTAGAGTCATAGGCAGTGTGAATTTCTCCTGGCAATAATGTGTAACAGAACATATGGAATACCATTAACTGGGGAAGTTCACCTGACCCCTGGTGCCCAGGATTTTCATTGTGGGTCTGTGATATGGACAAGTGAGCACCCAAGTTGGTCTGTGTTTACCCCCTCCAGAGTTGAGATGATATGACCTGACTCAAAGCCTCAACCCTGTCACACTGCAGGTATGGCTCAAGGTGCTTCCCCTAAACCACACCACTGTATTGGTGTCGGCCACGCATTGCATGGGTTTAAACAGTTTCCCAGAGGCAAAGACCAGTCTCTCTCAGACCAAGGTGAAATCCTACTCATTTCCACTTTTTCTTGTGTTGGCTACTACATTTAGGGGCCTGACTGAACTGGGCCAGCCCTCAGATGCAGCCCAGGAGGAGATATTTGTTCCTCCAACTGCCCGGGTGCTGCACCTGCCACCGACTTTGGTCTTTTGGAGATTTTAAATATCACAGTGATGAATGCTCACAAAAGACAAGTAGTGACAAGTGTTTGTGCTGGATTCCCTCTAACAGAAACACTGAGGTCTTTGTGCTGTGACAGACATTACCAACCACCCTGCAAGTGTCTTTTTTCCCCCTTTTTATTCTTTCTGAGCAAATGATCCCTCATATAGTGAAGGATGTATGTCCCCTCTACTAGACCCTCATCAAAAGCTTGGCTATGAAACCCTCATTGAAAACTTGCTTTTCCTGGGCTTTTTAATATCTGAGTAGTTGATATTTGAAAAGTGGCATTTCTTCCTTTTCCAAAATTCCTTTCTGCTGTTTATATGCATATCTCCTCCACCCTGTGGTAAATTTTTCTAGAGCAGAGGCTCCATTCTATGATTCTGCCTCCTGACATTCTGCCTCACTTACCATAGGCATTCAATTAGGATTTGAGAGGCAACACATGTTTGAAGGCAGTATTAATAGACTGTACTTAGTTCTGAAATGCAAAAAATATTAGAAGCCTAGGAATAACATTTGGGTAGTGAGATGATAAAATATATTTGCATTTTCTTATACATGTGTTAAAAATAACTGGAGTAACTGTGTGTGCTTGTGAGAGGAACTCAGTTTCTAGGAGGCAGAGTTAGAAAGAAGACTTTCAAGGCTTGCTTGATTTTTGAGCCATGTGAATATTTTCTAGATTCCATAATAATTAATGAAAAGATTCTAGCAATAGGACAATAATTGGTAAATTCTTTATTTTAGCTAATATCAACTGCATTCATTACTACCATTTGACTTTAGCTCAGAGCAGACTCACTCACTAAAAGTTGAGTTGTAATAGACATTAAAAATAGGGATGAGACTGGAGAGGGGGTTTAGATATAAAGAGAGAGAAAGGAACTCAGGGGAGAACATGAGATCCTGCCAATTATCAGGATGGACTAAAACAGGACATGAGTAACTTCACCAGATCTAAGTCATATGCCAGATTTTCCAAAAAAGGTTTTCCAAAAAGTGTCTCATAACAATTGTTCACTGGACTAAAAAAAAAGGTTGACATGTTTCAAAGAGAAGATCTCCTCAACATGAAAGACCCAACTCAACACACAGCACTACAACAGAGCTGAGAGCAATTAAGATAGCACTGCAGACACAGCCATCTCTGGGGACAGGCTCCCATTTAGAGATGGTCATATTATGGCATAAAGATGTTGTAGACGGTTCTCACATAGATTTCATCAGGAGGGGGCTTCTTCTTGCTTCCAGGCTCAAGGAATCTCTTAATTGTAGGGAAATTACTTAATTTCACTGTGTATTCCTAAAAAAAGGAAAGCATACAAGTTCAAAGTTAAGAGCAAAAGAATTAGTAACTATGAAAATATGGTTGTATTAAATGTCTCATTAAAATTTGTTCCACCACCATCTGTTGAAGGGACCCTACCAGAACTGCAATCCAACATCTCTCTAAGGTTGATCTTGTGTAATGATTATTTGCAATCCTTGTCTCCAACGGTAAAACCAGGGTTTATGCAAAACTCATGCTTCACACAAGGATGTGAATTCTCTTCAGAGACAGCAAAATTAAAAAAAAAAAAATACTTAGAGAACGATTGTAATACTTGGCTTAAAGAGGAAAAAAGGAAAAAAAAAAGGACACAGGAAATGCTTTAAGGGCATTGATGTGCTCAGAGGACATGTATGATCCATTTACATAAGAGTGCTTCAAAAGTCATCAGATGGTACAATTTCTATTTTGATTCTGCTTCCTTGTTCTTTTTACTCCTATTAGCAAATGAGTTCTCATTTTGGCTATGTGTGGGAGATGGCCAGCGGCATGCTTCAGAGCCGGGCACTCAGACACCAGATATTTATATAAACTGTAAAGAAAGAAAAAAAATGTGTTTTTCACTCAGAGTCAAATCTTAAAATTTTCAGTAACTGAGAAGTTCATTTGCTCTAATGAAAATTTTGAACTATATATATGAAGCTATGTACACTCATATATGTTTTTAAAATCTTTTAAAATTATTTATTAAAAATATTTTTAATGTTTAAAACAAATCTTTAAAAATTCTCTTATTAAATTATCTTACTTAAAATAAGATTTATTTTAAAATAAGGCCATTTATTTTTAAGCTACTATTAAATGCCTATTATGTGTAAGACACAGATTAATTAAGTATACATATGAAAAACATAAATACATTCACTATTAACAAAAACGCTAATGTCAATTAATACACAAATATGACAATCTTTTTATTATTTACTTAAGATCTATTTGTATTATCTAATTTTGAATATTATATTAATATTTGAAGGCTTATTCCAAATGATTTGTCATTTCAAGACTTACTTGAAGTTCCTATTTATGTAAATAAAACTTGTATGATTTTTACCTTCCCTTCAGTCAATACAGGAATACTGTTTAATCCAATCCAGATCTGCTATCAGATTCTGAAGTCCTTTAATGTTGACACTTAATCTGCTCAGAGATTAAAGTTGTGTTTCCATATACGCGCCTTGGGTTTTAAAAGGAAGTTGTCAGCTTCATGGATATAAAATATCAAGGTCCTGGTGCCACAGTTTACCCAAAAAGCTAGATGTTTATCGTTTACCCTAGACTCTTTAGATCTTTCATGTATATTCAAAGTATAGTATTTCACTGCCTATTAGTTATGTAAAGTGAAAATAAAAACTTCTTTCATGTCAATTATCTTTCACCTGTAAGGATTTGAGAAGCAGAAAAACACTTTCAGGTCTATAACTTAATTTCATTTTACTAAATAGAATCTTTTTCTTTTGGTATCAGAAATTTAACCCAGGGAGCATTGAACCATTGAGCCACATTCTCAGCCCTTTTTAAAAATATTTTATTTAGAGACAGGGTCTCACTAAGTTGCTTAGGGCCTCATTAAGTTGCTGAGACTGGCTTTGAACTCGAAATCCCCCTGCTTCAGCCTCTCGAGCCACTGGGATTACAGGTGACAGGTGTGCACCACCACACCAGGCTACTAAATAGAATCTAAAACTTAATCTCTATCTCTCATTTGCGTGTGCGCGCACGCGCACACACACACACACACATATTCACCAGAAACTGAAGACAGGCCCAAGAATTCTGGGCCAGTTTTCCAATACACCATTTTATTTACCTGGAGGAAAGGAAATGCAGACAGGATATTAGGAATTTTCTCTTCAAGAGCCAAAATGGTTTGGAGTAGAATCACATCAGCAAGGCTCAGCTGATTACCAACAAGAAAGTTTTGTCCATGACTCCTTAAAACCTGCAGGATATAAATGGTTTACATTGGTTATGATATTCCATGTGAAAAAACTGAAGAAGCTATTTTATCAGTGTAGTATCTAAGAAGGGGTTGAAATTGTGGCCTTGTCCTTTTATCCTTTTATAACAATGGTAATGAAGAGGACACCTCTATATCTAAGCGGGAGAGGAAGAGAAAGCACAAACAAGTATGGAAATTAAAGCAGCCTTAAATATCTGCTGTAGATCAGAATGAGACACTAAAAGGGGAAACGAAAACATCAGTTTCTGAACTTTGCATTCAGAAAAGAATAAAGCCATTCCAGAAATGCACCTATAGCAAACAGCTGGCCATGATGAGTCCCTGCAGGTCAGGGAGGGGTGGAGTGATATCAGGAGCCTAAATGATACATTGTCTCCAAGGGGTCCATTCTCTTCCCAGTTCTGTGACCCTTGGGACTTGTAGTAATAAACCAAACCTGACCATGAAAATAAACCTCACAACTTCCCAAACAGAGAAAAGTAAAGGCTTAAGTTCATCCTGACTCCATTTTGAGGTTGAGGGTAACACCTAGGTATGGGGATTTGTAAGAACAAGTTCTGATCAGGGAGAGGCAAAGAACAGTGGCAACAAAGTGTTCTTCCTTTCTCAGTGAACTTTTATGTGCACTAGAATATGTGTGTGCACATACGAGTGTGGGGATGTCTGACAGGGACCCCGAAATTGATTCTGAATCAAACACAGCTACTAGAGCCAGAGTGATAAAGCACAGTGAATCCAGAATGCGTACGCAGAGGCCAGCGTTTCAGTCCTGCTGTCCATTTTCTAACCACATACCTTGGACAGGTTGATAGATTGCTGATTCCATTTCATTATGTGCAAGAAGGATAACAATTTTTACTTCATAGCTATGTTACAAGGAGCCTGACATGGGCCACTGGGCCACTAGACTCACCAGTGACTCTCCTACTTCACGAAGGGCTTATGGGAAAAATACCATGAAACTAGACTACAGAACACCCCTCCACCCCAGCCCAATGCCACTTCTTTTTCTTTACTCTAATGACATGAAGATGGTCAGAGGGAGTTGGCCAAATAGGCCTTTCCATAATTTTATATCCTCTTGTTTGTTTTTAATAGAAACATTTAAAAAAATTCCTTCTGATTCAAGGGAAAAAAAGTGATTTAAAGCTCAGGGAAATAAGTATGATAATACCAAGTAGAAAACTGCAAAACAAAAAAGGTAAGAGCAAAGGGAAGAGAAAACGGAAATGGGTTTCTTCACATCAAACTATCAAGGAGGATGTCTGATCATGAGAGCTGTCTTAATGAGTGTTTGTTGATTGAATGAATGAGGTAGTTCCTGCTTTTCTCTCTTATACAAGGTAAGTGCTGGGTGAAGTACGAATAAAAATGCACAAACTTTTGCTAGATTTCTGAAAAATGTAGCTCTCAGAGAGTCTGAGGGGCTCCAAGGCTTCAGCTCTGTATTGATGGCCATAGTTAGCTAGTTCTTAGGAGTCTGTTAACTCTTACGTTAGTAAAGCTCAACTGGGCTCAGCTTTATTCTACCCTGAACAGAAAAGGGCATCTGTGATGCCCCATGGGATTATTCGGGCTTCTCTGCCACCTACCTTTTCAAACACAGGAAAGTATCTAATTATAGCCTTCTGGGCCATGTTAACCACTTCCTTTTGTTGATCTTCCGGTTTTAAGAAAGGATGCATGATAAGCAGTTCCAGCAGATCCAGTGTCCCCTCCACATACATGTCAATCCTTCAAACAGAAAAGCAGGTGTCTCAGTTCTCCTCCTTGAACTCAACGGTTTTCACATCTAAGAATATAGAGTGCTTTTTCTTCAGGCTCTGCTAACTTAAGTACCAAAGAACATTTGCCTAAAACTGTCTGAAGAGCAAAGGTAGAGAGTCCATTCTAGTTACGGTTCGAAAACATCCTTCACAAATCAGAACTTTGACAGTCACAGCTGCCCTCTCTCCCCAGCTCCTACTCCTCCACCCTCACCCCAGCATTCACACCAAGTGCTCCTGGTGTGAATTTTACATTTATAAAAATAATGAATATCATTTACAGAATACTTGGAGCACACCAGTCATGGTGCTAAACACTCTGCATCCATTATGTCACTGAATCCCATGACACCACGTAGATGTGCTATTATTACACCTGATGTATAGAAAACTGAGGCCTAACCCTTTGCCTAGGATCATGTATCCAGAAAGTGCAAGAACCAGACTCAGTTCAAACTATAATCAATGCATGCTATCCCAGGCCTTGAATGTCTGTTTCTCAATCCTAATACTCAAAGAAGTTAAAAAGTAGTATTGAAGTATTTAAAGATGTTAAAATATTTATGACATTATGAAATCATGACATCTTAAATAGATATATCAGAATTCAATTCCTTTCTATCATTTAACTTGAGTCTGATTATAAACCCAAAAGACACAATCTTGAAAGATTAAAATTCTGAATATTAAATCCTAGAAGTCAAATTTTCTTTTTAGTATTTTTTTTTTTGGACAGGGCATCTTTTTACAGACACCCTCCCCACACACTATTTTAAGTTGCCAGCACTACTTTTTATAATTCACTCTCCATGTATTTCATTTTTGCATCATTTCCAATATTGGAGGTATACATTACGTGAAGAATTTTAGAGAATTCTAATTCATTTTATGTATGTTTTGCAACTTTGACTCCCTAAAGGGGCATTATCCCAAGGTTGTTTTGTGTCTAAGCATTGTGCATGTACATAAAAATGTTGACATTTCCCCAGTAAATGAAGAGATGGCCTTTTTGTACATCTGCATTTGTGAAAGATAAAATTTCTCAGCATGTCAGCTCTCTGGGTGACCGACTCTGTGGAGCCTCACTGCAGCATATGACCAGCTTGCCAAAGGTCTTAGGTTGTCTCTCTCAGTATTCCAGATGACTGCAGTTGAGAAGCTAGATACACACAACTACCAACCACAGTGACATGAATTTATATACTTTGGTTTTTGGCCTATTTTTTAATGAATACTGTTTTTCTTCTCATAAATATTATATCCATGTGACTGTTGTTAGTTTACCTGAATGTTTATGTTTGCAAAAATATCTGGTAACAGATTTTTTTTTATTGTGCAAAGTAGGCTATGGTAGTTCTGCCATGTTTTTATGTTTCTCAAATTAAAACCCCTTTAAAATATAAATAAATGTCTTCTAAAAGAATTTTTAAGAATTAGTTTGTCTAGACAGAATAATATATTTTTAGGATTTTTTTCTTTTGGGATTTTAGACCTTAGAAATTTTAGACCTTTTGGGATTTTGATGTTTAGGACTGTGTCTTTAGGAATTATGGCCCAAACTTATTTTACTCAGATTTTCTATACTGAATTTCCAAACAGTCTTCATGGCCTTTCTGGGGTATGTTTCCTGTTCACACTAATGACTCAGGACATAAAGGAATGGGGTGTGCTGCAGAGGATTGCTAATCAGCTAAGGCACTAGAAAGGGTGTCAGAGGAGCCACCATACAGGGTTCTTTCCTTGAGGTCCTTGCCAAACAGATGGTGCTTTTCTGCTATGTAGTGGAGAATGCATCGGGTCTGGACCAACTTCATTCCATCAATTTCAACCATGGGCACTTGTTGGAACAGCAAGTGGTTACCTGAAAACAGAAGCCCAGAGTTAGAATTGACCTCTTCTTCCCATTCTCCAACCCCTAAAAAAGGGCTCTATTGAATGAAAAGGGGCAGTGGAGCCACTGACTTAGGAAATATCAGAAATCTCCCGGATGAAAGTGAACTTTAACTTCCAACTTCATCCAGGGGAGCAGATTTAACCATGAAAGAAGCCTGAAAACTAACACTGTTGTAAATCTTCCCTTCTTATTTCCCAATCAATAATACCTACCACTGAGACAAGGGATTGGGGAGGCCACATACTGGAGATACGTGTTCAGAGCTGCACCAGTCAATATTTATACCTATATTAGAATAATTAAAATACTAAAAATTACAATACAGTTCCTCAGTCACATTAGACACATTTCAAGTATCAGTGGTCAGAGGTGGCAGGGGGGTGGTGGCTGCATTGGACAGTGTAGAACAGGACCTTTCTGTCACTTCAGAGTGCACTGAACAGCACTGAGAGAATCTGATCCTGAAACCTAAGGCACTGCGGATTCTTAGGTATTCCTGCTGGCTTCTCCTCTTCTACAGTCACAGGCCATTTACTACCAAGTTTGCTACCACTGAACCCAGAACCTTCTCCAACAAACCTATATCAAACACATTCCACATACCCAACCTTGTGATGAGATGCAGAGAAAAGATTCAGCCCTTGGGCTGGGGCACTAACTTCAGACCAGTGTCACACACAAAAGCTGGCATTACAGTCCTGTAGACCTGGCCCTAGAGGGAGCCTTGACTTGGGCCTGGGACCTGATAGCTGGTTGGGAAATTGCTCAGAGAGTTAGTAGGATTCCTTCAGGGCATGCTGATGGTTCCCATGCAGAGGATGGGCACAGAGGGATCAGGGCTGGCCAAGGAACTAAAGAGAAGCCTTTTATGGATTTCACTTCCATTTGGTAACTAGGTAGAGAAGATGGGGAAGGATGAGAAGGAGGGGAAGAGCAAAATGGAGAGGGAAAATGGAAGAAAGGTTGAAAGGGGCTAAGGGAGGAGACAGGGATGGAGAAGGGTTGTTCACTTGGATGGGGAAGGAACTGTTCCTGCCTTTCAGTGAGCTTTTATTAGAACTCCTGAGCAAGAAGGGACTTCCTGCTGGGTGCAGTGGCACACGCCTGTAAACCCAGCACCTTGGGAGGCTGAGGCAGGAGGATCATAAGTTCAAAGCCAGCCTCAGCAAAAGTGAGGTGCTAAGCAACTCAGTGAGACCCCTGTCTCTAAATAAAATATAAAATAGGGTTGGGGATGTGGCTCAGTGGCCTAGTGCCTCTGAATTACCAACCCCCCCCCCCCACCACCACCACCAAAAAATAAATGACTTCCTGGCAATTTCAGCTGTATATTCTCTTTTAGTTTTTTTGGTTTTAGGATACTGTTCTTAATATTTTCTGCATCTTTACCCTTTCACATAAATACGTTCTTTAAAAACAGTAGTACACCCAGTTGTGATGGCCCATGCCTATAGTTCTAACAGCTCAGGAGACTGAGATGGGAGGATCACAAGTTCAAAGGCAGCCTCAGCAAAGTGAGGCGCTAAGCAACTCAGTGAGACCCTGTCTCTAAATAAAATACAAAATAGGACTGGGGATGTGGCTCAGTGGTTGAGTGCCCCTGAATTCAATCCCTGGTACCAAAAAACAAAACAAACAAAAAACTCAGCAGTACTGTAGACAATAGTTTCATGTTCATACTCACCATCCTGCAACTTGTGCAACTGTTCTTTCGTTTCCAGAAATTCTTCATCAAACTAAATTAAAAAAAAAAAGATACCCCCGCCACAAGAAGGTAAATATCATTAGAGGTACAGGAGTGAAAACATCAATTTAAATTGCTTCAAGAAGCAGAGACCAAGTGCATACTTTGCATCCATATCTTGGTTCCTAAATATCACTACCCACCAAAATGACCCAGGGCTCTTACAAGTAAAGGTTTATACTTTTATGTCAGAGTAAGGAAGTGCTCACAGATGAATGATACATGGCAGAGGAAAAGGCATGGAGGACACTATTTTAGATGGATTCCCTAATCAAATGTGAGACAAATCAAGCATCAAAAAGAATGATGTCAGGTGTGGATTATAACACACAACAAAATCTCTATGCCTATAAATGATAATACTAAAAAAATGGTGGGAGGGGGCAAAAGCTCTGTTTTGAAAAAGAAGTAGTGCTAACTGATAAAGTATTAATGCTAATGAATGATAAAATTAGGAAATCCTAACTTTGCATCCTCTTGTGTAATAACTAATTCTGACAAGGATCATAATGGCCACTAAAATCACTGGGGTAGAGAACATTCACTTACTCTCCAAGTATCATCCCAAAGTTACTTAATTGTGATAAAGGGAAAATGTGTCCTTTCAATAGAAGGGTCTGGAGATCTCACTGTCTATCTAATGATCAAACTGGGCTCTGCAAAGCGGAGACTCAGACATCCTGTGCTTTCTGTTGTGACCAATGGAGAAAGGCAGATTATCACCTGTAAAAACATCTCCAAAAACATTTAACTTGAATTTAATCTCAAGGTAGAAATCAGGCATATCCAGGATGTGGGACATTCAGTGACACAATGACCTGAACTCTAAGAGCTAACAGCATGGGAAAAAAAAAAAAAAAAAAAAAAGAAAAGAAGAAAGAAGTAGGTATTGTTCTCAATAAAATGAGACTTAGACCCATTCTAAGACAAAACTACCAAATGCCTAACTCTAGATTAGATGAGGGGAAATTGTTATATCTGCTAAGTAACATGTAACAGAGACACTGGACAATATGAAAAATCTGAATATGGACTACATATTAGATGTTAGGGACTTAGTGCTAATTTTCTTAATTGTTCTTTATCAAAATATTTATTCTTTCTTCTTTCAAATGATTCAAAAAAAAAATACAGAGAGGAAGGGAAAATGTAAATGTAGCAAAATGTGAACAACTGGTGAGTTGAGTTGAAAGGCATGCTATCACATCTTTTCTGTAGGTCTGAGTTTTCAAATTTAAAAGTTGAGGTGAGAAAAAGGAATGAAAACAAGGCCCTCTTCTGGCGACAGCATGAAACACATTCTATAATGCTCCATACCAATGCTCTTTGTGTCAAGAATCCCAGGAGGAGTCCCCAGCAGCTGGGACCCTGCACTGCTTGCCTAGGTCATTCTAAGGAGAGTGGAGCTAAACAGGGTAGCAGCACCCGCAGGCTTCCGCTCATCCATCTGAGCTGGCTGATGTGGATGAACCAGAGTGAGGGGTATAGGTGTGACTTCTGCTACTCATCAGGGTCTTCCAAATGCAAGGAGAGGAATCCTAACTCCCCAGAGGATCCCCATCTGAGGCCCATGGGGGCAGTAGCCTCAAGGCAACAATAATTAGGACATTTGTCCTAAATCCTGGAAGGTCAAAGGTGGTGCAAGTAGCTTTCTCTCCACACTACTGTTTCTCAAGCTTTATGGCCATGATCACTTAAAACATAAATGGGAAAGCAGGAAACATACATATGCCCGGGAGACTCACATTCAGTACTTGGGAGGGCCCAAAATTGCAGAATTTTTTTAAAAAAAACAAGAATGATTCTGATATTTTATTTCTGAGAACAAATGTGCTAAATAAATGCTATCTCTCACTGATTGCTTTGTATCAAGCTTTATAAACCATTGGTAAATAAGAGAAATTGGCACTGGCATGGGGACAGGGAGATAGAAGGAAGGAAAAATCCTAAGTAACAGTCTATGGCTGCAGGGATAGAGACAGCAGCTCAACTTCTATCCACCCAGTCACTTGTCTTTTCTCCCTAGTCCAGGATACAGTTCCCCATGTAGGATTCTATAGAGAACTGTCCCCTTCCACACCAAACACTCTTTCTTCTAAGTGAGTTACTTAGAAGTCTTGAATCAGGAGTTCCTAGCCTTTAAGTCTTCTCTTTTATATGTGTTACTCTTCCTCTTAATATGGGTATTTGCTGGGTTTCTGAGGGGGTCTTCAGATAAATGAAGTCCAAAGCATCAAAGCATCAAAGAGAAGCACAAAAAAGACCAACAACCAGCTCAGAGCAATGTCAGCGAGGGCTCAAACCAAGTGACTGAGAAGAGGATGCTGATTCCCTGAATCAGGACAGCTGATTTTCAGCAGGTTCTAGCCACTTCTAGGCACCTCATTACTTAGGTCTGTGTGCTTTCCATAAGAGGACCAAACACCCAGTCCTGGGTTACTGGAAAACACAAACTTGTCTGCTGGCTTCATGAGAATAAATTTAGCTAAAATCATCTTTTGGTAAAGAGATAGGGAGTGACCTCCCCCAACACCATCTTTTGGAAACTACTACTATACACCATGTGGTTGGCCCTGGCAAGGAGGACAGTTTTAGTTCTCTTCACCCTGGAGACCCCGCTAGGCTCATTATTCCACCCCATCGGCCTGTTCGATACGATTGGTCTTTGGTAGGTGATTATATGACCCATGTTCTTTTTGTTAACTTTTTAAAGATTTTGTTAACTTTTTTAAGGAAGATTCTTGACTCATAAGAGAGTAGGAGGGGCAGGGTAGAATGAAGGCAGGGAAAAAGAGACTTTGACAAAGGATGATATGACATACGTGTATATGACATACATGTATCTATTCAAAACCTATGAAAAAATCAAAAGCCCTGCCAGAATTAGACAAGTGACAAACAAGGGAAGTCAACCAGGTTCAGGTCCTGGGACCACAATTGCTTTCTTTCCTTTCTTCACACGATTAAAAAATAAAAGCTGAGACAACAGGGAATGGTGGGGAAGTTCTTATTTAGATCCAGCAATTGCTGCTCTGTACAAATTAGGGCCCAGTATCATCAGATCTTCCAATTTCTTAACAGAAGTCAGAAACAGGATTTGTTTATAAAAATGATGTCAACCAGTTTGGAAAACTGTAAAATACTGTGTGGAAAGTTATAAAGATATGCAAAAACATATAAATAAAACCCAAATCAACATTTGTTATCTTTAGAAGTTGCTAAGGCAACAACCATTTATTCTGAAAAGGGTAAATAGAACCAAACATTAATCAAGACTTTCTATATGAGCCATATTTCAAGGAAATTAAATAAGGAGTAAAAATTATTCATTATAAGGGAATCATCATTAATAAATTAATAAATTCAGGTGAAATGATAGAAAAATTGTTATTTTGTAATCCCTAGCAATGATGATGATGATTAGTAGCTACTAAAACCACTAGTTGAAAAAGTGATGTAGTGATATTGTAGTTTACAATATCAAGCTCAGTGTCACTGATGCGGTACAATGCAGCCCCTGATGTGGTACAATAGAAGTACTTTCCAAGTTGTTCTCCTGATGTAGTCTGGCGAGGCAAATAAAATCTAAGACAAAAAGAAGCCTGGATCTAATCACACCTCTGGGCTCAATGAGCAGCTTATAGGAAATATAGAGAAGAGAGGATAGTCTCATTTCACCATGTTACCTCAAAATAACTCCCAGATGGTAAACAAGCCAAATCCAGAATGGGTGACACTCGACAAGGCAGGTTTTTTTTTCCCCCACAAAAAAACAACTAAGAAACAGACGCAGATAACTAGCACCCAGATCTTGGCTTCTAATATAATTTCCTACTACAAGGGACTAGGGCTCCTTGGAGAAATACCTGATTGAAAATACAAGATGAGCATTAGAGCATCTTATAGTGTCAGAAAGTAATGAAGGGCTAAGAAAAAGAAAGAAAGAGTACCAATGGCCAAAGCTGGAACGACCTAAGCAATAACTAAATGATGTGTGTGTGTGTGTGTATGTATGTATGTGTGTGTGTAGAGAAATCTTCCTTACATAAAAATTCCAAATGTAAAATACTCCCTCCTCCAGGAGGTGGAGCTTTAGTTCCCATCCTTTTGCTTGTGGGCTGGACTTAATGATTTGCTTCCAAAGAATACAGGGAAAAACAATAACACAACAATGGAGAAATGTGACAGACCTTAACCAAACGACCAAGGTTACCAGCTCCAGTGATGATTCATGTTGATATCATCTCACCCAGGATAAGATGCAAAGAGAAGAGAACATCAGTTTGGCACTTCCTGCCCTCAAACTCATAAACCCATCTAACATGGGAGAACATCAGACATGGAGAATCCTACAAAAATACATCAAGGAGGTGAAATAAAGAAAAGGCTGAGTAACTATCACAGATTGAGGGCAAGTAGAGAAACATACAAATATAGTGTTGAACCATGGAATAGTAAAAGGACGTTGGTAGGAAAAAAAATTGTGAAAGCAAATAAAATCTGTAGTTAGTCACATATTTCTTAGTTTGACATGTAAAATGTGATCATTGGGGGGGATTTAGGGTTACATGGCACAATTTTACAACTTTCTAGAAATCTGGAATTATTGCTAAGTATAGTTTTTTTTTAATGTGGAGGAAAACTGTTAGAGAATTTTAAAATATTGGAAGACACAAAATTAAATGCAATATGTTGACCTTGTTTAGATCAGGACTGGAACAAACTACTAAAAAATCGGAGACAATTAGACTGAGTGTTAGATGATAACAAGAAATGTGATAAATGTTGGGTGTGATAACACTGTTGTTAAGTTTTAAATTCCCAACCCATTCAAGAGCAATGTGGAAGTAGTCCTCCTAGATGAAATGATATGATGTTTGAATTTTGCTTTAAAAATGCTTCCAACAAAACAAGTGGAGGGAGGAGCTTGATCAAACAGGATTAGCATAAAGCTAATGATCTTTTGAGCTGGAAGATGGGTAATGCATAGAATTTATGGCAATGCTCGATGTGGTTTGTATTTGAAACTTTTCATAATAAAAAACCTAAGGAACAGAAATGCTATGTGGACCATTGCTCAAGAGTATGCTGGCAAAATGCCAAGGTTTGCCATTTGGAAGCTATCAACAGGAAATTTGCCCAGAGATTGCATAATTAGTAAATGTTCAGGGTGAAATTGGAAATTTTCTGATTAATTCCCTTTCTCCTTATTATTCACTGGTGTTAGATCAGAGGCCAGTGATTAAGTAAAAGTCAAAGGAGAAACAGAAATCCATAGATTACATTCCATTTATAAAGAAAAGTCCCTTGACAGGAAGGAATCTTCTGACCCAAAGCACAGCTGTGATTTTGGTAAAGGATGAATAGGTTCTGTTGGGTGCAGAGCAGGCTGAACTGTGTTGTCTGCAGGGCAGGCTGAACAGACGTTGGCTGCAAGATAGCCCAGGCACTCAAATCCCCCTCTATCTGGTCCTTTATCACCTGTTTCCCTCAAGTCTGAACATTCAACCCTGCTTAAGGCTGAACATTTAACCCCCCCTTGGGCCAACAAGGCAGCTTGCAGACCCAGAGGCCCCATTAGATTTGGGCTATAAAAACTCCCTCCGGCCAGGCCCCCCTCTCTCTTGCTCTTTCTCTCTCTTGCTCTTTATCTTTCTTAGGCGCCCTCTCTCTCTCTTGCTCTCTCCCTGTTCATCTCTTCTCTTTTCTCTCTCTTTCCTTCTTTCCTTTCTCTTTGTTGCACTGCTGCAATAAAGATCTTTTGGTTGCTCTGAGTGTTGTGGTCACTTTCCTTTCAGGTTCTCTGAAACTTATTGTTTCCTCAAAAGTCTCAAAGTTGTATGGCAAATCTGTGAAGAAACAGCAGAGAGATACCTCGACTCCAGCGGCTGCTAAAACCCATCTTACGGATTCCATGCGGCCTCTTCCGTTGGGGTAGTGGAGCTTGGGCCTCGCTGCCATGATGGCTTTTCAGGCTTCTGAAAAACAAATGCAGCAGGCAGCTCCTCGCACAGGAACCAACAACCCACGTTTTTAATATCGTGTCCTTTGCCAGTGCTCAGGAGCTACATGAATATTCAGGATTTTGGAACAGGAAATTGATTTCTTTTATTGCTGCATTTTCCTTCACTCAATAAAAACATACCACCATTTTAAAACATGGAGAAAAAAACAACAGCTTTGGCTTTCATATTGTTTCTATTTATGATTCCTTGTTCTGGATCTTGGGAACCTGGGGGCGATTTGTTGTAAAGACATTTGTGCTAGCAGTACAGTATGTCACAGATTCATCATACCGTTATGATGTTTTTTTTGACCTTGACAATCTTAGGATTTTTTCCAAATTCAGCTTGGAGGGGCAAGTTACAGAGGGCCGCGGGGGCGAAATGCACGCCCACTGGAATCTTCATGTTTTACATGCATCGTCATATGTTATCACAGCAACTGGGAGGTGGACAGGACAAATATTGCTATTGTCCGCAAGAAGTGAATCTGCTGTGGCCCTCCCGGCCCCGCACGTGCCCACCCCCAGCTAGAAGATGATTCCCTGGCTTGAGAAATCCCCCCAGGCCACACTTGGCTCTCTGAAAACGAGACTCCCAGCTCAATCCACGAAGGGCTGCAGCCGTTGCCTGGTCGCCTGGGGCGATATGAGCCTACCTTCGCAAAGGAGGGTAATAAAAATGCACCCAGAGCCAAGAATGACCCAATCCCAACCTAAGGGCCGCGTCTTCCCAGATGGGGGCGGAGGTGCAAAAGACAAGAGGGAGAAAGACAAAAAAAAAAAAGTCTGAATAGTGAGGGGGTGAGGGATGGATGGGGCAGCAAGGGGCTCGGAGAATAGCCGGGAGGAGAAACAACAAGAGGGGAAAGGGCGGGCGGGGACAGCGGGAGGAAGACAGACCTGGGGTCCACTCGGAGCGCCACGAACTGCACAAAGCGCTCGGCCAGCTGTCTGCAGCGAGGCGGGCGGAGCGCCAGTGGAGGAGGCGCTCCACATGGGCGAGGCTCCGGGAGGACTTCACCAATCAAGAAGACAATATTTAGCATGCCCCACCCAGCTGCAAGGGATTCTGGATAATATGAAAAAATCCCAAATTTAAGACACTTTCATTTCAATTTTAGCATTTTGGGGGTTTAAATTACCTTTATAGAGATTGCAGCAAGTTTTGTTTTAGTTATAAAGTCATGTTATGGGCAAAAATGTAAACAGGAAACTCAGCCTATGTGTAAAGTTGTAAATCTCTTTAGGTTTATATAGCCTGTAGCCCAGCCTCTTTTCTCGGATGTGAGGGCGATCTGGCTGCGACATCTGTCACCCCATTGATCGCCAGGGTTGATTCGGCTGATCTGGCTGGCTAGGCGGGTGTCCCCTTCCTCCCTCACCGCTCCATGTGCGTCCCTCCCGAAGCTGCGCGCTCGGTCGAAGAGGACGACCTTCCCCGATAGAGGAGGACCGTTCTTCGGTCAAGGGTATACGAGTAGCTGCGCTCCCCTGCTAGAACCTCCAAACAAGCTCTCAAGGTCCATTTGTAGGAGAACGTAGGGTAGTCAAGCTTCCAAGACTCCAGACACATCCAAATGAGGCGCTGCACGTGGCAGTCTGCCTTTCTTTTCCCCCTATTTACATCTATTTTTCCTAGTTCCCCCCCCCCTTCTTTCTTCCTTTATCCCAATGGATCATCTTAAGCAATTCCTTCAATTCGTATTAGAGATGAGTCCTCTGAGCCACAGGGCCAAACATAGCACCCACTCAACAGAGGACATTAGGGTATTAGTGGACATGGTGGTAAAAAAGAAATTTGGCTCATGAATAAGTTAATAAGTTAAAACTTTAAATTATATAATTTCAATTTTAATAAAAAGTTAAGCTTATATAAACGGAAAAAAATGCAAAATTCAAGTAGATTTTAAAGTTAAAAAATATATACCTGTGGCATAAAGATGTGGCTCAGCAGCAGAGCACTTGCCTGGTATGTTTGATCTCCAGCAATATATATTGTTTATACATATATAAACATTTTTTTTTGCTGTTTTTTAGAGGCAGCTTCTGTGATTTCTCGGCTATAGCATGTTGTTGATTATTGTCTTCACCCATGAGGGACTCTTGACAATACCTTAACCTTATGAGATTTTATTTTTAGTAGATTGCTCTGACAGGACTGTGGAGAATGATTTAGAAATGTGCCAGTATAGAAATGGAGCTCTGTTAAGTGTGTGAACTCAGGTAGTATTGTGAGTTTGAAGAAGATGGGTAAGAAAAGACAAGATATAGATAAAAGGCAGAGGATTTACTAATGAGGGAAGGAAGAAAGAGGAAATGTCTAGAATAATGCCTTCCTACCAATTTTTCCTTTTTCTCCCATTCACAAGTGATTGGGTGTATACACATACACACACACACACACACATACACACTTCCTTTTATACCCTATTTTTCATAACATTGTCATCTATCATATTATTTATTTATCTATAGATTTACTAAAATGTAAATTCCAAGAGGTTAAAGATTTTTGTCTTTGATTTTTTTTGTTTGTTTCCTTTATTGTACCCTGCTTACTATGGGGTACACATTCAGAGAAAACTTGTTGCGTGAATGAATGAATGAATAATGCTTTCTTTTTTTACCTCAGTTAATTCCAGGGGAGGAAGACAAAGTTTTGGAGACATTACATATCTTTTGTTCCAATCAGCCATCCACCTGGAAATGTCCACTAGACAATTGAATACCCAGTTATGACTTGGAAGAGAGGATTAATGATGGATCAAACTGGCAGCAGGACAGGTCAGTAAAAGATAAAGCAATTCTAGGACAATTATGCACCCCAGGAGTCTGAAGAGTCACTTTAAAATAACACTGACAGCATGTGTCCAATTTCGTCTTCCAAATTCTTACCTGATACAGCGATTATTCAGGTTAACATGGGTAAGAAATTGCATTTTCCACCCTACTGAAAGTGATCATTCTTTATTTTTTCTAGTGAATCTTTATACAGGGATTTACTTAATTGAGCTAGATGCACAGTGTCATTATTCGACTTTGCTTAGTTCTACCTGTTTTAATCTTATCAAATTGCTGATATTTGACTATTGTTCTTAATCTTAAAAAATGCTAATTCCATATGTCTAATCTCATAAAATATGGGTAACATCATCCTACCAATCTTCTCACCAGTATGTAAGGCAGTACCATAAGCACCTATAATTATACAGATGTATAGAGAAATGAAAAATCCTGTTATAATAATTCTGCCATTGTCTTTTATTCATGGAAGCCCATGAATTCATACTATTTTTGGAGACCTTGGAGTTGCTCTGGATCTGAGACAATCTGAGTCTCTACCCGCTTATCTGATGTACTTTTGGCAAGTCTTCTCAGCCTTAATCCTTCACCTGCTCACTCAGTAGCATGTAAAATGGCTTGAACAAAAATTGAGAGATTTAAATTTGTTTGAGGGAAGCTTTATAGGTAAATATACCAGGAAGAGGGAAATTATTGGCTTAAATTCAACCTTAGCTATAACTGCCTGATATCAGACCCATTTTAATAGTAGGTTTTCATCCTGAATGAAAGGATGCCTGAGATCTTGAAAGGTGCCAGACTTTTGAAGGGTCAGGATTGCCAAAAGTTTAGACGAATGCTCATTGAGGTACCATAGGGATCAGCCACGTTCCAATGTGAGGGACACATTTAGGGCTTCATCGTTATGTTTGATTGGTAGATTATGTTCCTACAAAATCTCTCAAGGATTCAAAGAATGTTTAGAAAATGAATTTCCTGTAGCATTCTACATATGGTTCATGAATTATGAATTTCTTTTGAAGGTTTCAGTTATATATAAATTTGCAGTGGAAAAAAAAAACGAGCATGATGAAATCAGCAACAAAACTTGCTTTGATCAGCTTTTTAAAAAATGTCCCCATTCACCTAACTAGCTAAAGCCTAAATTAAAAAAAAAAAAAAAATCCCTTTGCAGGTAAATGGATAGAGTTGAAGAATATAATGCTAAGTGAAGTTAGCTAATCCCCCCCAAAACAAATGCTGAATGTTTTCCCTGATTTAAGGATGCTGATTCATAATGGTGGGGAGGGCATGGGAGGGATGAACTCTAGATAGGTGTGGGAGGGGAAGGAAGGGGGAATGGTGGTAGGAAAGACTGTGGAATGAGATGGACATCATTACCCTAAGTACATGTATGAAGACATGAATGGTGTGAATACAACCAGAGATATGAAAAATTGTGCTCTATGTGTAATATGAATTATAATGCATTCCGCTGTTATATATAATGAATTAAAAATTTTAAAAATCCTTTAATTGCAAAATAAATATTCATATTGCTACTCCAAGTGTATGCTTCCAATTTCACAGCAGTAACACTATACTAGGATTAAGAAGTTATAAATATCAAAGTTCCAAATGAACTAACTAAAATATGAAAATTAGGAACTACTATAGTTACATTTTTATTCTTATTTATTTATCGTAGCGCTGAGAATAAAACCCATTGCCTTGCATATGCTAAATAAGCACTATACCAGCCCCATCCTCAAAGTTTTTTTGATGAAGAATATAAGAACAGGAACAAAATACTCAAATCAGTTTTTTGTTAAACTGTAACTTTATTTGGAGCAGGAGAATTTTCCTTACATAAAGTTAACATTATTAAACACCTTAGGACAAACTATTCAAAACATGACATTTTATTTCAGAATGATCTTGCTTCAGTGGTTTCTGCCCTCCAATCTTCTCATTATTATGAATGTTTGCTTTATAAATAAATATATTCTCAGTTACTCCATTGTAATCAACTCAGGTGACCAAACTGCTATCTGTATTGAGATAACAGATATATTTATTCAGGTCATTTTAAATTCACATTAGCACAGTGTCTTTAAGAAATCGATAATACAGATTAATGTGATATTTGCCCCCAGTTTGTCTCCTTGATGGTTTCCATGAGAAGGTCCTCACAATAAATTATATAAATGTACAGTACATTTGGTTGGAAATTGTAAAAATAATTCTAAAAACTAAGCACATATAGTAAACAAACAAGTTGCTACAGTATGCTTAAAATGATATAAAACAATTAGTATGTCAAACATTTTATTATAAACATATTGCTTTTGGCCATACACCGAGCTGAAGCACACAGTCTGCCTTTCTTTCCTCTCCCTCTTCTACATGGCACAATTGAATGGCTTGATGATGAAAGAAGTGCTACTTCATATGAAAACCAGGTGCACATTAATTTCAACAGTACCTGTTTTTGCACTTAAAAATGAAACAATGATTTTGTTTGACTCACGTTGCCTTGATTGTATTCAATTTCATATAATTTCAGAAGATGACACAGTGTCACTTTTTTAGATCTATGTGGTCCTTTAGGCAAGCAATGTGTCCAAAAAATTGTTTCAAGCTCAATTTTCTGCCTATGTAAATCCTACCATACTTGAGCTGGGTGAGGACTTGGTAATGAAAGGAATTTTAATATAAAATGAATAATCATGCCAAGAGTAGAATAGCTTTTATGGAAATGCAGTTTCCCTGTTGTGCTTGCTGTGCCCCTCAGCACACCACTGTCACCAAACCTTTGGACGTGGAACAAGAGCCACCCTGTACCATATCTGACATCCCGAAAGCTTTCTGACTGTAAATGAGGTATAGTCATTGGATAGGTACATAAGAACTCATCACTCCTGTTGATGTCTTGCTTTCATTTTATAATTCTATAGCAAATAAAAATATATGCAACAGGTAACATTTTATTTTCACTTAACAAAAAATGGTCCCTATTTCCTTTTATACTATATAGCTTGTATATACAATTTGTCCCTTACCTATTTGGGGGATAGCAAAGAATACTATATGGGATTTTGCTAGCTCTTTAAAGTTTATTTTTCAGTAATCTAGTTTTCTCAACTGCACATCAGGTTTTTGACTTGCTAAACATGTTTAGCTTCCCAGGGGAAGGTGTTTGCTGGCAAACTAAGGAAAAGATAAAAGGAAGAAAATGAAGTATTCTCTGAAGGTGAACCTTATAAAAGTATTAGGAAAACAATTTTACAATGTGTAATAACCAGGTAACTAGGTTTTTCAATTTAAAATAAAGTACTGACCTTAACACAAGCTAGAATACAGAGAATATGGCATTGACAATCCATTAGTTTTTCTAAGGGGTAGGTATTTACAATTTAAAACCAGCTTTCCAGCAAGCTGGGTAAGGTTTCAGATTAATTTACCTTTTATATATAATACAAAGAGAAAAATAAATATTAACCTCACAGTAAAGGACTCATCTCTGAAAACACATTTTCTGTTGCTTTAGATAACAAGTTAAGAATATAATACAGAAATTAATTCAGCTTCAAGTTGTGCTTGCATTTACATTTTCTGAAGCTTTGCCGCCAGCTTGTTAACAGGAAAATATTATCTGTCAAATTCACATCCATTATGTCCTTCTCTCATGGCCTTCACCATCATAGTGCTTGGTCAAGTACATTTCTGAGTCAGATTCTCCAAAGCATAAATTACTCCCTGATTTTAGGTTAGAGCCCTTTGGAAGTCATGATAATGTGTTCAGGCTGCCACATATCACTAATACACCAAGCAATCATTTGCCAACTTACTAGTTTGAACCATATGAAAGTATCTACATTCACTTAACCTACCAATCATTTTAACCTACCAATTAGATCACTTCATATGGTTCAGCTTGCTGTATCCTAGAACCTGGAACCAAAAGAGTACTTTGAGCCCTGGGAGAATGTGAAACGATAATGCTGTTGAGGTCACTATCGAATTCACTGGTGATGACTGTCCCTCTTGCCTCTGAGGTAACTGTGAGGGGAGGCAGAAGTGCTTACACTATACAGAGATGGATGGGAGTGGATCTTCTGTCTTTTTCTGTCTCCAAACTAGCTTTGTCATTTGCAAAACTGCTGTAAACATTCCTCTCAATGGAATAGCCTCTGTCCAACAAATAGAGTTCTCACTCTTGAAAGAAACTATGCAGGTTAGGAGTTCAAATGTGGCACACTATGGACACTAACATTAAGATAACCGTGGTTTCCTAGGTCAGTGGGACCCCTGCTCTAAATCTTTTCTCTTCCCCAAATTGTCCTGAGAATTTGGCTAGGATAGATTATTTATGAGCTGCTCCTAACCATGTCTAGAGAACTGAGCTGAATGCAAGATTCCATCTCAGTTATTACAATAAAAATTTTTCTGTTGCTTTGAAACTTGGTATTTTTGATCATGCATCTTGGCAAGGGCATATAAGTTTAATTGACTGTGCTGTGTGAATCCCTTTATGTTGAAAACCATTTGACCCCCAAAGCTGCCCTTTTATATATCTACAATTTGTGTATGTGTGTATACATATATACAATTTGATTTCAAAAATGGAAGAAAATAGAATGTGATGGCTTAGTATGATTCATTTGGATATCTGCAATCACATTAAAGGGTGTTGTAGAAATTTCCAAAAAAATTTTATGTAGAGTTCTTTGTTCTGGGGAACAAAAATAAAACAAAATGAATTATAACCGTGGTATGAAAAAAAATCAAACCGATGACAGGATATTAAGAAAAGCAAAGGATCACTTTCCTAAGGTCAGTCCAAGAAAGCCTGAAGCACCTAACAAGCCATATTTAAATGTAATCATTTCACAATACTCGCACGTATGGAGTAGATAACCCTTAAGTCATAGCCTTAAAATTGCACCCCTATTGCAATACTGCATCAATAGTATTACATTTTTCAAAATCTGTATAAAATATTACCTGGAACCCCAAAGGAAAAACACTTAATCTTTAAAAAGGTCATTACAAAGTTGAACTGTATAAAATGCTAAAACATAACCCATATGTACAAAATGCTGTTGTTTAAGAAAATAATGGGACCCAGTTTTAGAATAAAATAATTTTATACAAAAAAGGTACTGCATTCAAATCAATGTTAAAAAAAACTTTAAAAAAGAATATTGAAATGTCTTAGTTCAGAAGAATAAAGTGTTGGTTTGCCTTTGTATCATCAACATGTCTCTTGTGGGTGGAACACAGTCAGTCTAGGGAAAGTGTCCTGCTCTCCCTGACCAAGGGCCTGGTTGCTGAGACAGTCATCGCCGAGATGGGTACTTGGAAGCCCAGTCTGTCCGGCCATGCACTGGTTGGGCGGCTGGAGGCCGTGGGATCAACCCCGGATTGCTTCTAGGCTGGGTGTGGAAAAAAGGTCGCCCAGGATGAGGTCTCATAGCCTTCAGGGAAGAATAACCTGCAATGGAAGAGAAAGGCTGGTCTGATGATAAAAGACACAAACAATCAAAGCACAGATAAATGTCTCAGGGTAACAAAAATGTCAGAAAATGAGAAATTCAAAAAGAGCATTTGTCTTTTTCTCTAGTCTTCCCTTTCTCAGTTAAGTAGAGTTGTCAAGCCAAAAGTACAGATGTCAATCTTGACTCCTTTCTTTTTCTCAGATCCCACTTACCACTTTTACCAAATCAACTATTGATACAATGGCCTAAACTAGCATCATTTCCTGCCTGGATAACTAGAAAAGACTCCTGTTCCCAACCCTCTTCTTACTTATTCAAATGACAACCAGAAGCCTGAGCAAGACTGTGAAGATGGTGGTCAGATAATGTTACTCTGCTCAAAAGCCTCAGGTGGCTCCCTTGTCCTTCAGTCAGTGAAAACATGCTTACAGAGAGGGAGTAGCTTGCCCCAGGGCCTCATACCCTTGGGCCTCTCAGTCACCCTTGTCCTCCTCTTGATACTTTTTCACTCATGCTCCTCTTGCACTCTGACCTCCTTGCTAGTCCTTGAGTTTGCCAGGCACGTTCTGCTTCAAAGCCTGTGCACTCAAGAATTCCATGTCTGCAACAGTCTTACCCATTTTGCATGCTTGTTCATGCTTCCTTCAGATCTTTACTCAATAACTCCTTTGCAGCAAGATCTTCTTTGGCTCCTTTGCCTAAAACTGCAATCTGCACCCCACACTCCCACCTCCACCATCCCTACACTTCCTGCCTGTTTTATTTTTTCCTGAGTACTTATGAGAATCTGACTTACTACATGTTGTACTTATTCAACTCACTCATTGTCTGCAAGTTCTCCCAGGGCCAGGAGTTCTAGCACATTCTAGCTCATTTCAGGGTTACAACAGGACTAGCACAAAGCAATTGTTCAGTTAATTATTGAATCAATTTATGAATAATTCGAGGTAGAACCTACCTGGGGAAGGATCTGGAATAGATGCTAGGTGTACCCTCTGCATAGCAGAACCGATTTCTTTTTTCAGGAAGGAAGGGATATAATTTCCAGTCAGTCCACTAGAACTTGTAGAGCTGGAACCAACTAATTTACAAAAGCAAAAGCTTGTTACTACAAAGGCATATTCATATGACACCAACAGAGTTAAAGGACAGCTGTGCAGAACAATAAAGAATTAAAATTTTACTTTTAGGGGTTAAAAAAAAAGCATGATGAAAACAGTGAATTCTGAATTGAGCATTCCACCATGCCACACTCTCAGGAAGGTAAGGAGGGGCAAAGACAGTGCTGCTCCCATAGCTGGCAACCAAGTAGGGGGTTGCTTGTTAAATGAAAAAAGGATTATTTGAAGCCAGGCACACACCTATAATCCCAGATACTTGGGAGGCTGAGGTGGGAGGATAGAAAGTTTGAAACCAGCATGGGTAACTTAAGTGAGACTCTGTCTCAGAATAAAAAATAAAAAGGACTGGGGATGTAGTTAAGTGGTAAGTGGGTTGAATCCCCAGTATCAGAAAAAGAAACAAGAAAGAGAAATGATATGTAACATATTCCTTTGTTTTTTGTAAAAGTAAGCTTAGCCTGTTCTGAAATTTGCTTTTTCCACTCATATAGTATCCTTCCATGTCAGTATATAAATTCAAAATTATAGCTTAACATAACTAAGTTAACCATTTGCTTCCTGAGCAACACAAAGATTGTCTTAATTATTTAGGTATTATAAATAAATACTAAATACTATATAAACACTAAATACTCTTACTGATAATCAGGAAATTACTCCTTAATAAAAATATGAACTACATTTGTCATTGATGTCATTTCCATGTAAATGTGTTAAGGGCAGGGACTATGTGCTTCTCATTTTTGTGTTCCAGTAGGTTAATGATATAACTTGTATATAGCAATAATCAATTACTATTGGGTGGGTGAATATCTATAATGTTTATTATTAGGGCTTAAAGGTACACAAAGAATGATAAAAAATGTTATTCCTGGCCATTACATGAACAGAAGTTCCATCCCTGGGGAGGAGTTAATAAGTGGTGCAGTTGCTCTGTCTGTATAACATGGAAGGCTCTCAGCCATTGCCTAGGGCAGAATGGGAAAATGGCCTGGAATGCATGTGTGAGGAACTATGCTGTCAGCTGGAGCACATTTGGCGGTTCTGGTGAATAAGAAAGATATGAAGAAAACCAAGAAGAGAATTTGAAGAAATAACAAAAGGGGAAAAAAGTAGAATCAACACACAAAAAAGATGATGAACCCCATCAGTAAACAAGACATGCAAGTTTAAACCACAGTAAGATACCATTTCACATTCATCAGATTTAGCACAAATTTTAGATTTGACAGTACCAAGTAACATCAAGGATGAAGTGCAACTCCATTACCCTGCTGGAGAGCAATTTGGCAATATCTGTAAAGCCAAAGATAAGTATACCTAAAGAGTTTATTCCAGCAGAGAAACCCTTGCATACGTGCACAAAATAGGATACAATACTGTTCATTTCAGCACTCCTTCTAATAGTAAAAACTGTAAACAACTTACATGTTTGTCAAGAAGAGAAAGAATAAATAATGATCTAGTATAATAAGTTATAGTATTATACAGTCATATAATCTACAATGATATACACATATATGTACATATATAATTGCTACACACACATTTATTAAAATGATTGAAGTGGTGAGCCAGGATTGTGTTCATTTAAACTTGAAAACATGTGAAACATATGAATCTCACACTTTTTTTTTTTTTTTAATGTACAGGAATAATAAACACCTAAATCAGGCTGGTGTGAGGCAGTCTGAATGGAGGAGGGAAAGACCTAGCCACTGGGCTTCAGGTATATGCTAAATTTGACTTCTTTAACCAGGTGGTGGGTACATGGGTATTGATATATTATCTTCTACTTTTTTGTGTGTGCTCCTTAAAAATAAAGGAACCCTAATGGGTAAAAGTGGGGAAAGTGAACTCCAGATGTTTATTTGGCCATACTGCAGGGGAAACAGCACGTGGCAGGGGAAACACAACATGGCAAACAGGTCTACTGAGAATGGGGTCAGTCAATTTGAAAGACTCATTTAACAGAAAAAAATGGGGACGGCTTTCTAAACAGTTCACCTTCCAACCAGCAGGGATGCTGATGTCCTAGGCCTAAGGCTGGGTCATCAACAAAGTACCATCGGGAACAAGGAAAATGGCCCCATGCTCAACATCTACCTCAGAAGGCCGCTGCCCACAGTACACCAGGCCTCACTCCATAGCTATCCTCGAGGGCAGACCCCCATGGGGGCTGGCTGAGCCCCATGGTATGCTGCCAAGAAAGGGAGAAGAGGGAAGGGTTGGAAAAAAGGTCCACATCCCTATACAAAAGAGGCCTTGTCCCATCTCTCTCTATACCCACTTAGCCACATACGGAGAATCTGCTTTTTGTCATTTAGGGATTAGTAACCGGTACTCACCTGAATTTATTTTGCTGATTACTGATACTGTCCCTGAAGACTTTCCAGACAAACCAGAACTGGACCATGGGTTAGATGGAATAAAGTCTTTGCCTGGATTTGGGAGCATGCCATTTCTTATATTTATTCCTAATAGAGAAGAAATGGTTTTATAAAGCAAAATACAACAGACAAAATGGATAAAGTAACTATAATACATTTATACTATGGAATATTATTCATCCCTAAAAGAGAATGAGATTTTACCATGTGCTACAACATGGATGAGCCTGGAGGACATTATGCTAAATGCAATAAGCCAGAAAGAAAAATAATGCATGATCTCACTTATATGTGGGATCTACCAAAAAAAAAATATGCAGAGACCACACATAGTAGTTCCCAGGGGTGGTAGCTTCCAGGGGTGGAATAAGGAGAAAAAATAGGGAGATGATGTAGGTCATATACAGCAGATATGTAGGATGAACAAGTCTAAAGATCTAACGTGCAACATGAGGACCATAGGTAATAAAACTGTACAGCACACGGGATTTGTACTAATGAGTAGAATCTAGCTTTTCTTGCCACTGGGGGAAAAAAGCTAATGACATGAGATGCTGGGTGTTAATTTGCCACTTCGTACTAGATACATGTAATATCATGTCACATGCCTTATTTATACACAATGCAGTTTATTTAAAATGCAAAATACACATTTAATCTTGTACTGGACATCACAAATGAAACTGAACCCAACTGATCAAAAACTACCTATGGTGCAAAATCAAAGCAAAATCTGACTGATGATATCATCTAACAGAGGGCAAAGGAGGTTAGTATGTATCTGATTTTTGGGTAGCCTGAGAAAGATCTCTTGTCCCTTGTCTTGACCTTCTGGCACTGTCCTGGCTTCAGTGGTCCTGGGCAGTCTAATCTTCCCCCTTTCCAGACAACTTCATTTTTGTCACCTGTCCAGGTTCTCTTCCTTCCTCTTCCCCATCCCCACACCCCAGCTCTGCAACCTGCTGCTCTCCTCTTTCTTTGTCCTCTGAGGTTTCATCTTCTTACCTCTCCTGGACCATTCTCACTGTCACATGCTAATGATGTTGGTTTGCACCACCAACTCTCATAAACTCTGGTCCCTCACATCCAAAGCCTCCCAAAACAAGCTGACTTGACTTTGACCTTGATCAATTTGATCTCAAGACTCATTCCTCTCCCCCTAAGTTTAGAGGTGGTCCCACTTATGTCAGACACTGCAACTATTTCAAAACTGAAAGTCTAAATACCTCTTTTATCCTTCTCCTGCTGCCCCACAGCCAAAAATAAACAACTCTCCAATTCACTCCTTGATCTTTTTGCCTGTGGTTACTGTGGTTCCCTCATGCCTGGACCCCTCTACACCCATCATCTGATCTCTTCTCCCAGGTCATCCTGGGAACTGTCAGGCCAGTCCTCTAGAACACAATGTCAATACCTATGAAGTCTGATAGTATTTGCCCTTTTCTTAATCCAACAGTGAAAACTTGAATGTACAGGGGGACCCAATGTACCCACCCCATCTCTTCCCCGATGACTGTACCTCCAGCTCAGGCTACCACTTCCCTTGTCTAGGTAACAGCTGTGGCTTGCAGGCCCTCACCCACTCAGTGCACAGATGTATAAAAACCCAATTAACTCTTCCAGTTAACACCCTTCAAGCTTTCCCATTGCTGATGAAATGAACCCAAATTTCTTCCAAGGCCCCCCAAAATGTCTCACACTCTACACTACATGGCCTCCTCTCTTGCCATGCTCTGGCACACTGGCCTCTGCTATTTCTCTCACACATTAATCCTTCTCCTGCCTCAAGGCCTTGTGCTACTATTTCTGCTGCCCCACATTTTCTTGCATTTTCTTTCTGTATATTTGGTTCTTTCTCCTTCTTTGGGGGCCCAGCTAAGAGCCACTTGCTCGGAGAGGCCTTTCCTAACCACTTTATTACTATCTGATTATTGCTTGTCTCTGTACCAAAGTCTCTCTTCTCCACTAGGATCCAAGCTGCACATGCCTGAGGGCTTTGTCTGCAGGCTGCTGTGTGAAGCCACTGTGGAGACTCTGATGAGAAGGAGCTCCATGGGGTTGTGCATCCTAGGGGCCCTGCTTGGCTGTTTTGTTCATGGTAATATTCCCAGTGCTTAGCATACAGTAGATGTTCAATACATAGTTACTAATTTAATGAATTTGTTAGTTTAGAACATGAAGAATCTAGAGAGAGGTTCAGGTACCCACCAAACCTAAGCCCTCTGCCAAAGGGTGTTACTAAGCTCCTCTCACGGCTTCCTGACTGGCAATTTCTCCTAAACCTGACCTGATAGAAAGCTTCAGATGTGTTTCTTAGTTCTTGGCAATTCCTCCCTCCTCTGAGGCTGAACCTAGTTTCCTATATTTCTTCCAAATATTTCCAAATTTCTTACCTCAGGTGACTATACAAGGTAAAAATGTGAGAACCAGGACTCAGCAAATATTTCTATGATTTTACTACCAATTCTGGCAGAGGTCAGTGTGCCCAGGGCATAGCAAAAAATGAGGCTATAGTTGGTACCATGAGGCATCTTTTGACCTGGTAAAAAAAATTGGATTTCAATTTTCATGAGCAATGGGAAGCTGTTGAAGGGTTTTAAATAGAGAAGTAACAAGATATTATTATCTATATTCGTGTACTGAGTTGGTACAAGAACCAATTTGGAAGAACTTGCCTCCCAAAACAGAATCTTTCTGAATATGTGATTCCAAGGATAAGATTTCTTGTCACTGATCAAAGTAAAGGAAAGTCACTTATGTTACCAGGCAAGTATCGAGAGTGCTTTAAGTAGTGCTGTTTGGCTGCAGATCTCAGAGTTGGTGTGTCTCGCCTCTGATAAGAAGTCTGGATGGGGGCACTATTTCCTGTACCCACAGGCTCAGAGGGCTTCAGGTCCAAAACACTCTCAAATCTGAATTAAAAAAAAAAACATGGTTTAAATCATAGAGAGAATGAGTGTGTGTGTGTGTGTGTGTGTGTGTGTGTGTGTGTGTGTGAGTGAGAGAGAGAGAGAGAAAGAGAGAGAGAGAGAATGAACATCATCTGACAGGTACAGAGAATCAGAGAGTGAGAGCGAGAGTGAGAGCGAGCGAGAGAGAGAATGAACATCATCTGACAGGTATAGATAATCACAAATCCCAGATTCACTCTGTTCACAGGTATAAGCAGCACACTTGCCTGCAAAGAGCATCATCACTCTGTCTTTTCTTGTTTTTCAGGTCAATCCTGGTGAAGGATGGACTGAAATCCAAGTCATCCAACTCAGCCCAGTCATCAGAATCCTTTGTTGACCTGGATATGAGACCCCATCTTCTCCTACTCTTTGGCTTGATCTCACCATTTTTGTGTTCCAGGCCAGCCAGGATTTTCTGTGCATACAAGGATGGGGAAGGAAAAAAGCAATACTGGCATTAATGGAGTTCAACCAGGAATAATTCCTACCGTGAACTTCTTTTGTAATGAAAAGCAGGATCCTGAAGCACAGCATTCTTCAATATTCACTGCTTATTTGAAAGGACACTTGTGGAATATACATTCCCAGACCTCCTGTCTCTCACCTACTCTGACAGATTTCATTGGTTGCCAGCCATTGAGTGCACTAAGCTATGTAACACAAGGTTTTAAAAAAGGAATCTTAGAATTCTTCTTACACACTTGGAAGATGGCTGGATTCTCATTTGGGCCTCATCCCTGAGAGTTACTATGATTTCTGCTGTTACCATAGAGACGTAAGAGATTATAGCTAAGGTGTCAGCCATCCTGCTCTTTTATAGAAAATAGTGCCAACAATGCCTGCTTTGCTTTCTCAGTAGATCTGGACACTATCTTTGACTATAAAATAGCTACCACAGCAAATTTCCAAATAGGCACCACTACCAAATCATGGGCTAGGGTAAAGTGAGCAACATACCAACCCTGCCACCTCTGGCAGTATCCACATTTTGCTGGTTGGGAGCCCACACTCAGTGAATACTAGTTGACAGAAAGGTACCTCTTTCGCATGAAAGTTTTAGACTCTTCAGATAGTATTACAAAGCTAACGATAACTACAATCCCTTGTCAGGTTATCATTCTACTGAATCTAACACTCATTGTTTCCTTTTGAAAACCAGCCCAAGAAAAGAAAGATCTGGGCTCAATTAATAGCTCAGCATTAACAGTATCCATTTATACCAGTAATATGAATAGCAACCAGGAGGTAGGTATCTTATGGGTTTTTTTTTGTTGTTATTGTTGTTTTGTTTTTTTTTTTGGTACTGGGGATTAAACCCATCGGTACTTTGTCACTGAGCTACATCCTCAACCCTTTTTATTTTTTATTTTGAGACAGGGTCTCATTAAGTTGCTTAGGCTGGCCTTGAACTTGTGATCCTACTGCTTCAGCCTCCTGAGTTGCTGGGATTACAGACATGCACCACTGTGCCTCGCTGTGATTTTTGAAACATCTTCACAAGCTTCATGACCTTTGATCCTCATGAACCACACTGCCTGGAGGACGATATGTGTTATGATCTTCTTTTTATAGGTAAGAAAACTGTGTCTATAGGGATTAATAATAACAATGACTACTAACACTTACTGAGTTCTAACTATGTGCCAGGTGCCATTCTAAATTCTTCTCAAGTATTAACTTATTTAGTCCTTACAACAATTATATCAAAAAAGGCTATTATTATTTGTATTTTACAGATGAGGTGAGGAAGAGTGGAAAAGCTAAATAACTTGCTTAGGGTCACTGAGATATTAAATACCAGGGCCAAGATTTGAAACTCTAGTGATCTGGCTGCAGAATCCAGTTCTCAGCCATTACCTCAACTGATTCCAGGAATGGCACCACTATCAAGAGGCAGAGCCTAAACTTGAATTTAGACCTAGAACCAAAGGTCTCTTCACAATTCCTATTTAGACCTTGAACCAAATTCTCTTCACAAGTGCTATTGCAAAGATAAATGAATTATATTTGGGCCTTATGTAGCAAAAAAGAAAATACTTCACATAATATGTAAGTCAGAAGAGGAATAAGGAGGAATCAGGAGACACAAAGCTCCCCGGCAAACTCTTGCTGCTTACCGACTGAGGATTCTTGCTGTGGAGGGATGGGAAGAGCAGCGGGCTCGGCTTGTCCTCCTGAAGATGACTTGGGTGGTCTGTCCTGGAGGCTTCTGCTTTGTAGGGGTAGATGAGATGCTGAGGGGGCTGGCCGGCTTGTTGCTGTCGGGAAGAAATTCTGGTGTGTGGCTTCGTTGGAGGCTGGGCTGGAGGGACTGGTTTGATGAGAGGAGGTGGGCCTTTCTTTTCCAGGACATCTTTCTGTGACTTTCCTGAATCCTGAAGGCTCTGTGTGGTGCTGCCTAGTGGATGTCCAACCTGAAAGTAAGGATATCGAAGTGCCTGGAATGACAAATGAGGTGTTAGGAGAAAAATCTAGCCAGGAGGGTAAACACCATCTTGATCACTGGGCAATAACACATGTGACCAGTTTACTGCAGGTTTCCAGCTCAAACCAACTCTAAGAGCATCCTGAATTAGTAACACCTCTTATGACTTTCCTTATCTAAGATACCATAAAATTTATGTACTATTTGCAATACTTAAAATTATTTGGAGAAAGTAGCCAATTATGCTGATACTTTTTTTTTTTTTTAGTTGTAGATGGACACAATACCATTATTTATTTATATTTATGTGGTGCTGAGGATTGAACCCAGTGCCTCATACATGCAAGGCAAGCGCTCTGCCACTGAGCCACAATCCTGGCCCTATTATTTTTGAAGAGCATCCTGGTTCAATGTAGATCCTGATTTTATAACTTACTTGCAATTTGTGTTAAATATGGTATTTTACACTTCTAAACCCATTTTTTTTCATTCTTCAGAAAGAGAAAAAATAAATTAAAACAGAAAGAGCCAAATATAATGATCCTGGAGGACTCTGAAAAATCAAGTTCAAAATAAGCAGGTACATCTGCTTTTCTCTCAGGAGTGCCAATAGTATAACACATGACATAGTTAAACCTTCCCCAGAAAGACAAGGTTTAGTTGCCAGTTGTTCTGGATTATCAAGTTTTCAGGATAGCCAAGGGATAAATCTTAAATTTCTGGGGCTTATAAATCTTTTTGAAAAATGACCTATATTCCCTTCTTTGGTTACCTAGATGTTGTTGAAAACAACAGTATTTCTTCATTACTCTGGGACATAGTTGTAAACATCAGGAACAATCATACATAAATGTAGATACAGAGGAAAATAATATGGGTACCCTTATAGAGGTCTTGAATTCTGGCTTTTAACTTGGAAAGTCTTCTCTGTAGTGCTAGGCATTCAAGCAAGTCTGGATTGATCCGAGGTATTTTTAGCTTTTCTGATACTATTCTTAAGAGCACACATTCCTCTCGATTCCCTGTTATAGAATCTTTTTCTTTCCATCTCTTGCATCATTTAAAATAATGGCTCAACTGGGCATGGTGGTGCATGTCTATAAGTCTAGTGGCTCAGGAAGCTGAGGCAAGACGATCACAAGTTCAAAGCCAGCCATAGCAACTTAGTGAGGCTCTAAGCAACTTCTTGAAAGCCTGTCTCAAAATTAAAAGTAAAAAGGACTAGGGATGTGGCTCAGTGATAAAGTACCCCTGGGTTCAATCCCTGGGGTGTGTGTGTGTATATATATATATATATGTATGTATGTATGTATGTATATGTATGTATGTGTGTGTATATATATATATATATATATATATAGTTAAAAAGTGGTTCATCAGCAATCTTCCTTTCTGCCCTAAAGCTGTTTGTGAATGTCACCACAAGAGGGACATTTCAGAAAGCTTTCCAACTCTCTTGAGTGAGTCAGAGTCCTCGGGCACCAGATTATAGCAATTTCTTCATTGAGTCCTTGGGAAAGTGTTTTTCTACACTCCTTCATTTTTCTCACAACTATCATCTCTCCAACTACCACCAATTCTAACATCACATTATCATTTTCTTTATATATCCCCACCAAACCATCTCTGATTAGAATTGTTCACTTATGAAGCAGGAAGCATCACAATACCAGACCTTAAATTGTACTACAGAGCTATAGTAACAAAAACAGCATGGTATTGGCACAAAAACAGACTTGAAGACCAATGGAACAGAACAGAAGACACAGAAACAAACCCACATAAACATAGTCATGAGGGGAGGGGAGAACAGAAATTCAACGGAGTAGTCAAAGGAGAATGAAAGGAAGGGAGGGAGCATGGGATTAGAAAGACAGTAAAATAAATCCGACATAACTTTCCTATGTTCATATATGAATACATGACCAGTGAAATCCTATATCATGCACAACCACAAGAATGGGAAGTTGCTGGGCACAGTGGTGCATGCCTGTAATTCCTGTGGCTTGGGAGGCTGATACAGTAGGATAGTGAGTTCAAAGCCGGCCTCAGCAAAAGTGAGGTGCTAAGAAACTCAGTGAGACCCTGTCTCTAAATATAATACAAAATAGGGTTAGGGGTGTGGTTCAGTGGTCAAGTGCCCCTGAGTTCAATCCCTGGTCCAAAATGGAAAGTTATCCTCCACGTATGCATAGTATGTCAAAATATACCCTACTGTCATGTATATTGGAAAATAACAAATAAAAAAAAATCTGTTATTCATTCGATTCTCTGAGCAGTGTTAATTGTTCATGAGACCAGTTGAGAAAAGGTCAGGTACAATTAAGTCAACAGGAGGCTTGCAGTAGGAAGGTGAGGGGTCAGAGCTCACAGCATCACATCTCTTTTGGCTGCTCTTCATAATTTAATTCACAGTGGCTTAGGGGAGGGTGGATGAGAAGCCAGGAGGCATGAAGTCATTCAGAGACCTGCCATCTGCATGACAGGACTGCAGCTGGCCGCACTCTCCATACTAGTTACTGGATGAGCAATCAGGGCAAATCACTTAAACTTTCTGAGATTCAGTTTTCTCACCTATGGAGGTAAAACCAAAAATGCCTATCTCATGGAGTCCTCATCAGGTTAAAAATCATATAAAATATATTCAAGAGTTTGTAAACCATAAAGTGCTACAAAATAGGAATTGCAGATATTCGGCCTGACTTCATCCCATCTGTCATTCTCTCAAGGTCTGAGGTTACCTTTCAACAACCAGTGATGGTTGATAACCATTAAACTACTCTCTAATCTTAACTCATAGAGAATATGTTTAAAAACATTTTCCAAAGACGAGATACATATATCTGTTTATTTTAATTTGTACATATATAGTGATGTATCCTGTGAATATGCCATTTTCCAAAGCAACAAGATTGTTTAACCTTAACCTCTTTAATTATACACTATAAGTTTCAAGCTATTTAAAGTTCTTATGTGTGTACCACTAGTGGTATTCAATACAATTTTTCACCCATAATATTAAATATTTCCCATGTGAAATCAGAGTTAGATATGAACTTCATAAGAAATGCATCAGAAGGCAGAAAATGGAGCAAAAACCTGACTAGCTGTTGGCCGTTTCTTGGGATCCCACTGAAGCATGTCTCTCAGGAGCTGAATTGCTTCACTGCTAGCATTCGGAATCAGGGTCTTCAGGTTATTGGGTATGCACTGGGGCCAGTGGAAGTTCATAGCATTTGAAAGTTGGTAGCCTTCAGGCCAGTCCGTCTGAAAAAAGAAAAAAACAGAAAGTCTTTCTCACCTAATCGCTGTGCCTCAAGTGTGCCCATCTGGACAGGCAATCATGCCACTGCCCTGCCAGAGTGATTGTGGCAGCAGGCAGCAGTGTATGTGATGAGACACACAGTCACATCGAAGAGACTCTGAAGAACACGAATTCTGGAGAACTGCAGAAGAGACACACCAAATTGTTTTATGACCTTTACGTAAGATAATCCATCTCTTGAAATTTGGGGTTTGTACCAAATTAGTATTTCCCCAACTGTGTGCCAGGAGACAAAGCTTTTAGAAATTGCTAATGAGATATTTGTGGGGAAAAGACAAAATAAAACAAAACACCTTGTCGTGGTTAAATGTCTTTTTGTTTTGTTTTGTTCTTGTTTTTGGTACAAGGAATTGAACTCAGGGGCACTTGACCACTGAGACACATCCCCAGCCCAATTTTGTATTTTATTTAGAGACAGGGTTTCACTGAGTTGCTTAGTGCCTCGCTTTTGCTGAGACTGGCTTTGAACTTGCAATTCTCCTGCCTCAGTCTCCTAGTTAAATGTTTGAAACCCTTCATATTATTATATCTCCAACTTGATGATTTGAAATACACATGCTGAGGAAACAAGTGGTAAAGAGAGCTGCTCTACCCCATCTCTGGCTCCCCACTTTTTCATGTATCAAACCTGTGGGACTCTGAAGGCTAGAACAAATAACAGAAAGTGCTGAGCAACTGGTATTTAAGGTTCCTTCTAGTTCTAAAACTACTGTTCTGTAAGATACATCCTGATATATATTACCTCCCCCACTTCTTTTTTTCTAAAGCCAAGTGGCACTATGTATATCTTAAAACATCCATTCACTTAGATGGTTTCTGAGTGAACATTTAATGTTACTGAATATAAAAAAAATAATTCAATATAAATCCTAAACTTAAGAATATCACTGTCCCTTGGTTAAGTAACCCTGGGCTCAATCAAAAAAAAAAGAAGAAGAAGAAGAAGAAGAAGAAGAAGAAGAATATCACTGTCCTTAATAGAGAAAATAGGTCATTTATTTAAAAGCACAATAATACAGAGTAAAAAAAGACACAAGAAAGGTATAGCTACAGATGGGCAGAGGAGGGACAAATGCCAGCAGGGGACTTTGGAAACCTTCTTGAAGAAGTGGCAATAATGATTCATGTAAATGATTAAAACATTTTTTGAGGGTCTAGCTCATACCAATAATGGTGCTGGGACATAAATAAATGCAAGACAAATCTTTGCTCTGAATGAGCTTATGGTCCAAGAGAGATCTATAAACAGATAATTACACTAATAATGCAGAATACAGCAGAAGATGAAGATGAGACTGGAGAAACAGTGGTGGGGGGAGGGAGATGGGGAGTCTTAGAAGAAAAGCGGGAGTTGGTCACACAGAGACAGTCACTCAGACAAAGTGCATGTGCAAGGCACAGAAATAGAGAAATTTCAGGGAACATTGCCAGGAAGTCCAAAGTGGAGAAGATGGGAAGGGATGAGAAGTCATTGGCTTTGGCCCACAGGCCTTTGTTTCATATCATTACCTTTTTTGGTGTCCCCAACAGTTGGCAAATTTTGAATATCGTGTCAATTTCACTGGCCCCAGGGAAGAGTGGCCTGAGGGTGTACACCTCTGCCATGATGCAGCCCACAGCCCAGATGTCAATGGGGGAGCTGTAGTTGGTAGACCTCAGGAGAACTTCTGGAGCCCTGTACCTGGAGGGACAAAGTTAACTGAGAGCTATCACTTCCACTGGCCAGAAATTAAATAGCAAGCAGTTCTCAGCAAAATTTATATATTTGTTTTCTTTCTAGTTCAGTGTGGTAAATGAACTTTTAGAGGATTTGGCTTCTGCCATGGCTGCCTTCTCTATTCACATTATTTTCTATTGAGCGTTTCTCTATAAGAGTCTTCTCTATAGCATCTTTGAGAGGAAGAGAGCCAGGAGAGAAAGTAAAAGAGAAAATAAAGCATGTGGGAGATACTTCTTGATCATGGCAAGCTGTATATCAGCTCCTGGGGTCTGAAAGTTTTAGCAATAGCAATAAAATAGTCTTTCAAATAGGTATTTGGAGAATCTTTTATGACTCCTTTATGAAACTGTCCTCAGGAAGGTCCATATATAGCATCTTATTCATACTATGGAGGGGCATGATGGATTTCCTTAAAAATTATTTACATCCAAGTTTTTAACTGTGTCCAATGCCAACACACCTACAAACCAGTGTTTCAGACTGCACTCCTCCTCTTGTGAAAAGTTACTATTTATGATTGACAATCAACCCTCCCTAGAATGGTATCTTTTAAAATAAGTGCTCTTCAGTAATTTTGAGAAAAAAAATATTCACCATCTGGTAGATACGTAGTCTGTGTATGGAGGTCTTGATCGGATTTCTCGGGCCAATCCAAAGTCTGCGATTTTCACAAGTTCTGGTCCCATACAGAGGAGGTTCTCAGGCTTTAAGTCCCGATGGAAAAAGCCTGGAGGAACAAAGAAGAATCCAAATGCAAATCTGCTGCATTACTCTTTTCAGCCATACTACTCTTCTCATAACAGCTTCTCATAAAGCACCCTGATATGATACCAAAGACTATGCATCTATCCACAATAACGCACAAAGTTTTGGTCTTCTCACAGGACTTCAATCATTTACCTTTGCAAAATCACCTAAAAGTTGATCAACTTCTTGTAAAAGATTTTTCTTTATAAGAGAAAACTTCACTTAAAATACCAAAACCCATGAACTGAGATAACTTTGTAAAACAAACTGTCACTCAAGGGAAAAATACCATTCCTACTTTGCCCAAATCAGTCAGGAAAAAAAAAATTGAGATTGAAACAATTTCAAAAGAAAACAGTCTTAATGGGTATTGAGTTTATATCACAGTTATAATTTTTTTCTAAAAGACAAAGGATTTATGAATATGATCTACTCGTGCCTGAAATTCCAATGCATGTTGTGACACATGTTTAAATGTTAAGTGCTTATTACTTTGCCTAATGAAGTACAGAGGTGTATCTGTAGCTCACATTGTGAAAGGCAAAGGAATCTCATCAAATGAAAAGCCCATGTCAGCTGCAGTGGTGCTCTGATGGCACAGGCAGGAGATATTCACCATGACAGCCTTCTAGGTTTTCTCAAACACCTAGTGATCAGCAATTTTTACCCACTCTCTGACTGTCTTACCAACATGGACAGCATTCAGTGTGATGCTAAATCTCAACGGGATGCCCAAACTGGAAATACAGCTCAATTGATGCACTATTATATGCCACCATTAGCAATGTTGTGAGAGCTGGACTAACTAGCACATTATGAGAGAAATTAATAGCCATCACTGAAAACCTACACTACTCCTAGACCTCCTCTGTGCTGATAATTTACATTTCTAACATGCCATCTCTACTCCTCTCTAATAACATAGCAAGCTGATACCCCTGTATCAGCTTGGGCAAACTGTTTTTCTCCTCTTCCAAATCATCTCTCCTTCTCAGATCTTTGATGAAATTGCTAGATACCTTGTAGTCATACTGAGTCCATCCTTCCACAGACAGTGATGGGATTGTGGTGCCTTTTCCATTGCAGTATCCCCTATCCATCCCTGTCTATCCCTTCAAGCCTCCCCAACACTTGCTCTCTTGTCTGCCTCTGTCTCACTGTGTTTTTACACGCTTGCCTAGCTCCAGCTTCACTGGATCCCCACACATCCTGATTCTTAGGCACCATCTTTACCTTGCCACGCTCCTATCCACACAGACAAAAACACCTTCCATTGCATTTTTAAGACTATTTAACAAGGTTGTACTCCTTTTATCCCACCTAAACGGATAAATGTGTTTTCTAACACGTTTCATCAGTTTGTATAAAATGTGTTCCAATCAAGTAAAATTCTTCATTCCCTTTAAGTTTGTTGCATTTATTCTGGTTAATACTATTGTACTCTTGCTCCTTTTTTGTCTACAACAATCCCAACTTTGCCATTCTTCAAGACTTATTTTGAATTTCCTTGCTTCCACAAAGCCCTTCTAACATGCTAGCCTTCTTCATTCCTTTATTCTAGCAAGAAATATTCAGAGGGGCTGTGCCAGGCAATCCATAGATCAGCTGTGTGGATTCAGAAGCAATCCAAATGCCTGTGGTTCTTAGTTCTCTTTATGCCTCTGTGCATACAATAGGCCTTCCCTCTGAACTTCTTTAGAGCTCTGTCATTTTTAGTTAATGTTAATAATAATTTTTAGTTAATGTTTTAATAATGTTAACCATTATTCTTAAATTAGAAGCACATTAGAGGCCACATTTATATTTCTACTGAATGCCTAACACAAGGTCAGGAGCATGGTGGTCTCTTAATAAATTCTTGTTGATTAAACAAAGGATTTGTGTGGGCTTGTAGGGAACATGAAGGAGCTGAATATATCTACTTGGGCCAAGAAGGCAGGGTCAATGGACAGCAGAGCAGAGCTGGGGGCAGAGTACAAGGAAGAAGGCGCACAAGACAGGAACTGATGACTGAGAAAGAAGAGCAATGGCTCTGAAGCAGTGTGGAGACAGTGAGGGCGCAGAGCTGAATTCGAATGCCACAGAGGGAGTTCCAGCAGGACTAAATCTGTTAGTCAAGGTCATTTTCCAAAAACTGTCTCTGCCCTAGGGAAAGGGCAACTGTGACGTGGTCACATGTGAAAATGCACTATGTGTAATGTACTATGGGAAGCAACAGTGTTATAGTGAAAAGACATTCCTCTCTGTTTATCATTCTGAAGAAAACAGGGCTTAGTATTGGGTCGAGTTCCACATGGACAATATTATGGCATAGCGAGGGATCTGCAGGGCAACAGCTAGCTTATATGGACAGATGAATATGGTTATGGAGCCTATAATCTAGCTCACACATAAGAGGATGGAGATACAGAACTTATCAAATACATTCAAGATAGACACAAATGAGAGGAGAAAGTTTTTCTTTTCACCACAGGGCTGCTGCTTTTTCATAACCCAAGGCACTGATGAGATCAAAGGAGACAGCCCTGGGCTACACAGAGACAGGTAAAAAAGTTGGTGATTGTTATGGCATAGGTGTGTGTATGTGTGTGTGTGTGTGTGTATGTGTATGTGTGTGTGTGTATTTGTATGTATACCATAAAATTATATGTATAGGTCACTGCTTTACTCTTCATCTTGACATCTGATAATATACCTAATAGCCTTCCATATACCAATTCCTTGAAGTATCCTAATCAAATTAATAGCAAATCAAACCTAAATTACATTAAGAACCAAATTTGAGGCTGTCAACTTGACAAGTACAAGAGTAATTCAATATTAGTCAGGAATGGCCTTTAAAATGAAAGAAAAGAATTTCTGATAAGGACAAATTTGAATGACTTATTATCAGCCTAATTAAATAAAGTTTATCCCCATCCCCCAGAGTGGGCGATGTCTGTTCTAAGCTTCGGTATAACTGAGTCATTGTGTTTGGACCCTCTGTTCTTCAGAGCACCCTCCAGCTCCCAGAAGGCCTGGCTAGATGCTCCCATCCTAGACATGGCTGAAGAATGTGTAAAGAATAGTTATTCAAGAATGACCTTTGTGAATACACCTAGGAGGATTCCAGTGACCCTTGAAAAGGTATGAACTGTGAGGCCAGGGTTTATAGAAACTCAGAGCATTAAAAACATTCCAGTGAAAAAGAAATGGCAGAAACCATTTTCTTACTGAACAGATGGGAAAACTGAGTCATGGAGGGGGTGAGGTAGATGAATTATTCACAGTCTCACCAAGAAATGTGTCATAGCTCTATCAGTGTCAAGCTCCACTCTTTCCATATAGCTAAATCATGGTCTATGGTTTTGGTACTCTCAAGACTAGATTAATGCTGTTTTTCCTTCTTTGTTTTCCTCTAATTGGGGCAATTATTATTTCCAAAATAACGTGGTATTTCTCTTATAATGACTCACTATCCTCCAGCCTCTCCCACCCCAAGGCAACTCCATCTATAACACCCACCTCAACAAACCCATGTCTTCTCCCTGCTCAGTTCATCCTATCACGTTGATTTGTACTTGGAGGAGCATCATCCTCATGCTCCTGACCCAGTACTCTATATCCACCTGAGCTATGCTCCTGTAAATATCAGCCTCTTCCTCCCACAGACAGGCTCTATCCTCTGTCCCCACTGAGTCCTCTCATCCTCCTTCCTCAGAGAACATGTGCACCAGTGAAATGAGGAGAATGCGGATCCCAAGTCCCCACCCATCCTTCTAAGCATCTTCCCTTTTGCACTCCTAATTGTTTCCCTCTAAAACAATCAGAGGGAAAATGGCAAGGAAAAACATTAATTGCAAAAGACTCTTAAAAGTGACTGTTGAAAACTATGTTATACCTGTTATACAGTCTTCAGGTATAAGCCTTTATGATACATTCATGGATATGTCTGTAGAATATCTAACCCTCTTAATTACTGAATAAGATCACAATTAGCTTTTACTAGCCTTATGCCCCTGAGTTCTATCTCTTAGAATTAAAAGTATAAGACCCTTATGTCATACAGAGTGATTTTTTTTTCTGTTTTAACAAAACATTACTATTTTAATGTCAAAAGCAAAACAGCTTAGGAGTTAAGTGTACAGACCTACCAGGTTACCTCATTTCAAATCCCAATGCTGTTACTAACTGACTAAAAAAAATCACTTAACTTTGTCTCAGTTTCCCTACCTGGAGGGAAAATAGCACATACGTCATGGGGTTGTTTTACAGTATTAAGTATATTTATAAAGCTTTTAGTATGGTGCTTGGCACATCAGCACCTTGGAAGAACTAGTCATTATTAGTATTAGCATTAGAAAATTCTTTCATTTTACCCGCCGAACAATCTGTCAGAATGCACAAGCATACAACCATCTTTTTTTGCAGTTAAGAATTAAGGCTTGTAGGCTACTGATGTGCTCCAACTGTGAGGGGCTTTAGGTATTTTGTTTCCATTACTGAAGGAAAGAAATAATAAGCAGGTACATATGCACTTAACCAAAGTCAACCAACAAAATCCATAAAAGTTTTAAAAAATCATTTATCAATGAACATGGGACAGGCCCTGCACAATTAGTATCCATCCCACTTAACATTGTTATGGTAGCAGGACAACTCTGATCTGATTCCTAGCAGGATATGTGTTCTGCTGATGAGCAATAATATGGCTATAACAATGGGCCCATTTTTTCCTCTGGATTCCTAATTGACAATGGAAATCCTTATAGCTGGGTAATTCAGAGATCACACCACAGCAGAGTGCTGTTTTTATAAGAGCCTTCTTGTTCAAAACTGGGAACAGACCTACAATTTAAGTTCAGGAGGCTGCATGTCAGTTGAACAACAAAGGGATTTTCCCTTTCATCTTGGCAGAAAATTTGTTGTGCTGACTTTTTTTGTTGATAACAAATGGGCAAGGAAAACTCAAGGCTTTTCCCTGTACCACACTGTTATAATTCATTAAGGGATTCTAATTCATTAATGAATCTGATATAAACATACGGAAATGACCAGAGAATATTTAAACACTATGAATTTATGTAGCCCACCTTCCTGCTGTAGATGTTTTAATTTTAGATAAAAACTGAGTTTACACCAATAATTGTTTTCCCTAGAAGACCATAAGAACTGCAAGCACAGAAATGTAAAGAACTGTGTGTAGGTCATGCTCAGCCAGATAGTAGTAAGACAAAGAAGCAGAGAACCACCTCTTGGGGCAAAACTTTGTCCTCCAAACCATCTAGTGTATTTCTATTACCTGCATGGGGAAGTATGACCTAGATATTTATAAGGGCAGGTCAAGGATGAAATGGCCAGTTTGCTTTAGTTATTTAATTTCTTCAAAGTATGTATGCTTTGACATTGTTCAATCAGTACCAAGTAGAGCTGTGTATTCATTCCCACTGGGCGGGGGGAATACTCAGTGACATGAAATATGGCCATAGCAACTACCTGCAGTGCTGTTCTTCCCTCTCAGAGGAGTCTATTCCCCAGGGACAGAATGTACCTTCCTACAGTGAGAACGAGCTACCAGGGAAGAGTCTGAGACTCATAAGACAACTCTGTGAAGTGCTTTAGATATTTTTCCCATCACTGGAGGAAAGAAATAATACAGAAATGCATGCAAACTTAGCTAAAGTCAAGTCAATACCATTTGAAAGCCATATGAATTTCTAAAAATCATTTATGAATGACCATAAAACAGGACCTGTACAATTAGTATCAATCCCACTTAAAATCATTATTTTCTTCATCTCATACTCTCTTGTTCTCTTTGAGAACAGACAGGTTTTTCTAGTGAAGCATGGCAGATGGGCACAGACGATCTGAACTCTAACACTCTATTGCATGGAACCTCTGGTTTTTAAGCCTCTCTGAACTTCAGTTTCCACTTCTTTGATAGGAACAGACACCATCTGTTCTGTTTACCTGAGAAGTTGGGAGGAGATAAATAAGGTAACAGATGAAGCTTTATTAAGCTCAAAGTAGAACTGTATACATGACTGCCAGGGAAAAGTGTCCAAAAGAATCTTTGGTAATGGCAAAGGTTCTAAGGTTATAAAAGCAGAGGTCTGATCTTCTCCATTAGCTGAGCCTTCCCTTGAACCATTTCTACACAGTGCAAGTGTCTAAGGCATGCAAGGACAGTGTTCCAAAGGATTGTTTTGATAAATGGTGTTAAATTTTATTTTAAATATATATATGTTTGTACATGCATGTATATTTGTGTATATGGGATGAGTATATATGTAGATACATATAACTATGTGGTCTCATGGATGGGATGAATATATATATATATATATATATATATATATATATATATATATATGCATACACATGTATTTGGGGGGCTATGTGTGGTGTGTATGTGTTTGTATATAGATACGGATTCTAACCATAGTGGTGTCATATACCTATAATCCCAACAACTCAGGAGGCAGAGGCAGGAGGATCACATGTTTCAGGCTAGCTTCAATAAATTACTGAGACTCCATCTCACTAATGGGGATGTAGCTCAGTGGTAGACCACCCCTAGATTCAATCCCCAAAATGGGGGATGGGGAATCAATCTCTCTATATATGTATACAGACATATAGATATCCATTTGATTAGGTAAAGACCTGAATGAAAGCCTGCAAGTTCTTCCTGGCAACAAATATCTGGGTCTTGTGACAAGTAGCAAAAAGGAAAAGAAAAGAAAGCTGAAGAATATTTACTTTCTTTTAGGTCCACTTGGTTTCTAGTACTGAGCAAACAGTCTGAAGAGCTAAAATGCTGTGATCAACCCATCTGAAAGCAAGCTGGTTGACCTTTGTCTTTTGAAAAACCCCTTTGACATCTCATCATTTCTTTTCCTTGAGCTCTTAAATTTAGTAAGTGCCCTTCTATTTGTCTCTAAGACAACATGTCAAAAGTTTTTAGTGTTTTGCAAATTCATACTATCCCCTGTGATTGCTTGTGGACAAGGGCCAAAGTGAATGTGCATGAATATCAGTGGAATGAATCACAGGTGAATTGTACTAGATGCTTTTTACTAGAACTGGTTCATGATTAAACTCAGTCTTGCTTGGGTCATGCTGACCACTCTGCACTTGCCTGAGGCTGACAGGGATTTGCGTGGATAGCCTGTGTTTAGCCACTTGTGTTCCATTTAATCTCTGTGAGGGGCTACTTAAGGGGTGAAGAGAAAGCTGGTAATGATCCCAGATGCACTGTGCCACCTGTGCAACACAAGACTTTTCTCCTCACTGCCAATTTACATCAAATCTAAACTGATGGTGTTGTCAAAGGGTTTCAATTCAAGTCACCTTATTGAGTAACAAAACTCATTTGTTGGTGCAGTTCTTGCAACACCAACAACATGTTCAGACTAACAGTGAATGTATTCGGCCTGTGCAAAATCAGTCACTTGCCCATCTGTCTGTATGTTTAAATGACCTCAGATGACCTTCTCAGAGGACTTCTGGCTCCATACATAGATACGTCCATCTGGCAGCTCTGTGCTCACATGGTTATTGATCTAACCCCATGTGGGTTCTGCATTCAGTTAGTAACAAAGACCAGCCAAGTCCTAGGTAGGTGCTAGATACTACAGCCTCAAACTCATTGCTGCTTAAAAACTTTCAAAAGTTCAGCTAAGAAGAAAAATCAAAATAGAGAATTTCCTGAAGCATACAGAGTTGTCTTTTCCTCTAGATAGTCTAAATCTCTCCCCATACGATGGATCATCCCTGGTGTCTCTAATCAGGTGATCTAATTAGCCTACATTGAGGAATATGACACAAAGCTGCCCTACACAAACATCACTATGTTTTCTACAAAGTCATGTAACATACTATCCCTCTAAAGGGTCAAGTTTCTCTCTGGTCTTGGTATCAAGAATAGTTCTTGCCTATAATCCCAGCACCTCCTCCGAAGGCTGGGGCAGAAGGATGGCAAGTTCAAAGCCAGCCTTAGCAAGGGCGAGGCGCCAAACAACTTAGTGAGAGCCTGTCTCTAAATAAAATACAAAATATGGTTGGGGATGTGGCTCAGTGGTTGAGTGCCCCTGAGTTCAATCTCTAGCACCCAGGGGGAAAAAAAAAAGAGTAGTTCTGCTTCTCTTGTGCAACTGATCTGTTCTTACCTCAGGGAAATAATATATGTTTTAATTGGTCAAGTTTCACATTTTGCTTGATATGAAATGAAGCTCAGAACCAAATCTGTGGCCTGCTTCTACTGAAATAAAAGTTGCTAATATGCATCTTAAGGATTAAACTCACGCCTGGCTATCTATGCCTTATTTTGCTTTTGCTTCTTTCTTCATTTTGCTAATTTTTAATTTATTTTATTTTCCTGTATCACACAAATGGTATGTTAGGCCACTTTCACTTTTAAACCCTTTCAAAACAAACTGAAATACAAATAGCTTAGAAAAATGAGAAGCGACAAGGGAGGGATGTTAGTGGGTTGAACATAACACCTGAAATGTCTCAGAATTCTAATTTGAAGTTTCTTATTAATACACCTGGTCAGGATAATTCTTAGGTCTAAACTAACAATCATAATGTTAAAACTTGAAGAACAAAAACACGACATGCATAGATGAATATGTCAAAATGAATTCCACTATCACCTATAACTAAAATGCAGTAATAAATTTTTTTTTAAAAGAGTAAAAACACAAGGACATGACAATTGAAGAAAACTCAGAAATAAAGTTCCAAAAGATAATATATTTCAAAATTCATTATCAGCCTCTTGACTCTTCAGCCTTTTCTGGGGGTTAGTTACAAAAGACACTAGTGCTTCCTACATCTTCTACTTGATGATATTTCACTGCTATTTTAACGCACAATGCTCCACATCCATCACCTACCGTGCTTGTGAATAAATGCAAGTCCTTGCAATATCTGATACATGATATTCCTTATAGCAGACTCAGGAAACAACTTGTTTCTGTATGGGATAGAGGAATATGAAGTTATAAATCTGGGTTTATGTATTAAAAAGAAACTCCTGCATTCATATCCTTTTGATTACATAGTAAGAAATTTTTTAAAAAATTGCTGGTATACTAATTTTGGGTCAGATCGTTTGATAATAAATACCAAAGAAAAACAATCATTTGTCCATACAAGGGAGATACCTTATAAACATCAAATATATTCAGTTATATTATGAAGAAATTTATAATACCAGAAATCCCTCCAATGTAACATATAAAAACCCCAAAGTTTCTCGTGCTATAAGTTAAAACTTTAAAAAAATTTAGTGGGAACAGTTTGAGGTCTTTTAGATAAAGCCCTTATGAGCTGTAATGGATGCTAACATTTTTCTCTGGTAGGCAAACCTCACAGCCCCCGTGCTGTTGTTGACAATCGAGATAATATTTGTTCACTCAAAGCCCCCAAAGGGATGCTCTGGATGGCATTCACTTTGCCACCAAGAAAGTGTGCCCAAGAGGTTCTATACAGTCTACTTTCAAAGTTCAAAATTACCATAGCAGGTAAGTTTTTTATTAGACTCCCTTTCCCAGCATGCAAGCACCTAAGCACTGTAGCAAGTCAGGAGCCAAAATAAACCTAGAACTTTTCAACAGAGGTCTCAAAATAAATGAAGCTGTGTCCACCCCAACTTGTAGTTGCTCTGCCCATACATCCTTGTAGGAAAGCAGAATTGCAGATAGTCTGTAAGCTCTGTGAGCTTCTTTTGGGGGATTAAATCTTTAAAATCTGAAAACTGTTGCCCTGAGAGCAACTTCCCAGAGGCCCAGTAGCTTGACCTTTAAATGACCAGACAAATAACTGGGAGACTGAGATAATCAAAAGGAGAAAGAAAGCACATCCACTTTGCAATATTTGTTTCTAAGATCATGATGACCAAAGGGTTTTACCTTTCTTTAATGAGCTGATAAAGATTTTCCTTCATGTACTCGAAGATAAAATAAAGATGATCATTTTCCCTGATAACTTCTTTTAATTTTACTACATTGGCATGATTAAGCTTCTTCAGTGACTAAAACATGAAGAAGAAAAACACAAAAAAATTTAGAGAAAATCTGTTGTTGAAAAAGAAAATTAATCCTATGTGTGCTCAGGAAGAAATGCCTAATTTTAGAACCACAGACACACATGCCATAAGTTATATTTTATTCTTAATGTAATTACCAGTTTTTCTCTGAAATCAATAGTAACTTTACCTAGAAAAAATATTTAAAAATTTTTTTGTAGTTGTAAATGGAGAACATGCCTTTATTTTTATTTGTTTATTTTTATGTGGTGCTGAGGATCAAACCCAGGACCTCACATGTGCTAGGCAAGCGCTCTGCCATTGAGCCACAGCCCCAACCCCAGCCCCCAGAAAAACTATTTTGATGAACCGACTAGAAGATAAGTCTCCATTCCATCAGTAACTGGTATTCCTGGCTGCATCCAGCACCCGGCAATAAGCCAGGGCTATTTTAGGCTCACCCCCTCCAGACCATGGAATTCATTCAGGCTGTGGAAATAGCCAGAAGGGAACCAATAAAGAAAGCTGAGGCTTTGAATTTTCTAGCACTGGAGAATGCAGCTGCTTTGGGCTGAGATCACCAGCTAACAGTGTACAGAGACTTTAAATAGAATATTGCTCAAATAGACTGAGGCTGACAGCCTGATTCTCTTGACTTCTGTCTGACACGTGTGTCCATGAGACCTAGAAGGCTCCTTCTTACAATGTGAGTTTTAATTACAGAGGAGGAAAGAGATACCTTATGGGAAAGGACCTGCAGTAAGATGAGAGAAATTCCTCTGCTTCCAAGAGCAAAGATAAAAAAGTCAGGCGGTAGATGAGGACTAAGAGGGGGTTACAGAAAATGGTGTACGACATGGTCACTCATGCTCACACGTGTGTTGTTTTGTGAGTTCGTGTGAGCATAGCCAGGTGTACACTTCTTTCTGTTTGCATCATCAGTTCTGTTAGTGGTGAATAAAACCTGTATTGGTGAGCAGCAATCCTGTTCATACACAACATCCAGAGACACCCAACTGTCAGTTTGCTCCTGGGATGATCAGAATTTGATAGTCTGACTCCTTCAAGGAAGCTTCCAAGGTTCACTCTGGTCAGTAAAATGAACCTTTTAGTTCCAACAGCCTTTTCCTCATAGAGCAGTGAGTCCATTAATAACAAATTATAACACCCTCTTTATCTTTGAATTTCATTTAAAAGAACATCCCTTTTATAAAATGAAAAAAAAAAATGTTTAAAGATGGAAATGTTAAAAAATGAATATCCAAATCTGGAAGGACATTCAGTAACAAGGTACTCAAGGGATCAGAGTTTGGGAATGTGTAATATGATCAAGTTAGTTCAAGCAGCTGGGAAGAGAGATGGAGTATTGTCAGTGAATGAGGACACAATAAGACTATTCTGGAACTTTCTCCCCAAAGACAAGTTCATGCCAAGACATTTCTCTGGCACAGATTCTCAACTGTCTTGGCCAGATCCTTCCAGAATGACCCAACCAGGATGACTATTTCTTTTAGTTGGGTTGAATTCCTGGTTCTCCATGAGTAACAAACATCAACATTGCTTAACTTTTAAGCATTCACTAACTCTCCTGACTGTAGCCTTCTTTTATGACTGTTTGCTTAAAATGCATCACAAACAGTAGGGGAGATAGTCCTTGGATAAGCAGCCTCAGGGCAAATTCATCTAGAGAAAACAAAGTCAATTTTAGAGCTTTTCTAGAAGAGATTTCTGTGTAAGTAGTGCAATACCTTTAGCTCTCAGACTAAAGTCTGTTTTGAGCACAAATTACTGGCCCAAGTCTAAGGGTGGCTCACAGCTCTCTCTCTCTTTTTATTTTCCTTGCTTGCTTGTTTTTTCTTTTTCTTTCTTTCTTTCTTTCTTTCTTTTTTTTTTTTTGGTGGTACTAGGATTAAATTCAGGGGTGTTTTACCATTGAGCTACATCTGCAGCCTTTATTTTTTGTTTTGAGACACAGTCTTGCTAATTTGCTAAGGCTGGTCTAGAACTTGCAATCCTCTTGCCTCAGTTCCCTGAATAGCTGAAACTATAGATGTGTACCACTGTGTCTGGCAAGAGTTCTTGTCTCTAAGTGAGCTTATGAACAAATTAAAGTCTATAGTAGTCTAATATAAAAAGAATAAACTTTGTGTGGAGGACTTCACATGATTAACTTTACACAGATGTATTTCTAAACGAAGCACCTTATTTGGCTTATGAAAGGATTTCAAAGAAGCAGTAGAGGCAGGTCACCTGTATCAGAGCAGAGAAGAATACATAGCAAAGCAAACCTAGTAAGTGGTCCACGTAGGGACAGTCCCCATGGATGAAGATTCCAGTTGGATATAATCAATTCTGTCCTCCTCAGGGATGGATCCACAGGGATGGATCTAAAACTATAATGTACCTTGGAGGCTGAAGCAGGAGGATTACAAGTTCAAAGCGAGCCTCAGGAACTGAGAAAAGGTCCTAAGCAACTTAATGAGACCCTGGCTCAAAATAAAAAATAAAAAAGGAGTGGGGATGTGGTTCATTGGTTCAATCCCTGGTACCAAAAATAAAATAAAATTACAATGTACTAGACCCCATAATATTCTGAGGCATAAATAAGACACAGTGTCTGCTCTTAAGAGGCAAACAATGTAATTGGGAAGACAGTGCATAAATTCAAAATCCATGTAACAGAATAAGGAAAGTCATATTAATTATCATATCACAGGAATGATAGAAACATTAGAAGTATTTCAAACAGGAGTAATTAGCAAAAACTGGGTGGCCATTGAGAGCATCTCCAGGATGTTACTCAAATAAGAGTTACATCCAGACAAGTGCATAGGGAGGGAAGGAGTCCTCATAAGGAAAGCTTATTCTGTGTAAGGCATGGGAATGGAATAGACTCTATGCTGCAGACTTGAAGGATAAGATTCATCCATTTTGACTCTGAAGGAGGCTTATCTGGAAGAATTTGGTTAGAGAAGTGAGCAGGGGTCAAACTGTTCTATAATATAATATCTGTTCCAGATATAAAAACGTTGAGTTGTTCTGATGAATCTTGAAGCTTTGGTAAAGTTGCAGAGGAAGATGACTGATTTAATTCGGTTGAAAAGTAAATGGTACGTAAAGCTCACTGAAGGGAGAAGTTTAAAACATAAGAAAGGAGGGCTGGGGATGTGGCTCAAGCGGTAGCGCGCTCGCCCGGCATGCGTGCGGCCTGGGTTCGATCCTCAGCACCACATACCAACAAAGATATTGTGTCCGCCGAGAATTGAAAAATAAATATTAAAAAAATTCTTTAAAAAAAAAAAAAAGATTCCATTATAAAAAAAAAAAAAAAAGATAAAGAAAGGAAAGAGGTGGAAGACCAAGGAGGAAGAAAGTTGAGATTTGTTTGGAATGGGGAGAACGGTGGGCATACTTATAGACTGGAGGGAAGAAGTCATTGGAAAGGAAGAGCTTAAAGATATGGGGAGGGAACACTGGTGGATCAAGGATCTAACACATCAGAAGTTAAAATGGTTAAACAAACAAACAGCACTGGAACACAGTAGGCAGGCTGCAGGCTCCCTGCTACCTCAGAATGGCAGCTGGAACACCACAGCACCTCGTAAGACAATGCTCAAAGAAAAATGTCACTGGGATATCACAGAGACAGGATTCCTGTCCTTGTATTAGGTCATCAGCTACAGAATCTTGACAGGTACACGTGGGGATAGATGGCAGATGGAAATGCAAAAGAAAAGAGATGAAGAAGGAACCATTGTATAATGAGTACCAAAGTGCAGAATTTTCTTCATTTCCTCTTGCTGCTGGAATTAAGCAGGACAAATGGAAACAAGGTCCTCTAGTGACTCCTTTCCAATCCCCTTCTGCATCAGCAAGCAGAAGAGAAGGACTTCAGCAAGGAGGAAGGGATGAAGAACATGAAGAAAGGTACCTCCTTTCTACTCCTTCTTCCTTCCCTTCCCTCCCCTCCATATTCCAAGCCTGGCTCTGGCCCAATGCTGGTACGTTTGTGTGAGGATCAACAGGGGTAGGTGGGGTGAGGAAGACTGTGCTTGCAGGAGACGTAGCATCTGTGCAGGCAAGATAAGAGTAGGGAATGATGGTGGTCACCAGATAAGGAGCAGTGCCCTCAACTATCTTGACAAGCAGTCACTTGCTTCCCAAGATGCTGTGTTTTTCTAAGCTGTTTGTGTGAGTGATCTTCTTCCATGAAAACTAACACACTGTTAGTTGTACAAAAAAGGAAAGGTTTAGCATCTAAGCCAAGGATATCTCTCAGAGCTTCATATCACTGAGAAAATGTCCTTGGATCATCCTTTTTTTCCAACTCATGTTTTTGGATCTATAGAGTTTATACTCTATAAGCAAGAGGCTGGCACACTCTGAACCATGGGGAAAATCCAGCTCACCACCTGTTTTTGTATGGTCCATGAGCTAAGAATTTGACAGCAGAAAACACTAACTTTGAACCTAATTAAGTTCCATATGATGTCCCCTCACAAAAGAATATTATTCATCTCATTGGATGAATACAAAAAATGATATCATGAGATAAGAAAATGATGTCTATTATTATTATACTTTATATTTCATAAATGAAGATTTTGTGAAAATTTTTAATCCTGTTACATATATCCTTATATCCCCTATGTGACCTTTTGGTCCATGATGTCTAAAAGATCTACTGTCTGACCCTTTATAGGAAGAGACGGCAGATCTTTGCTCTAAGCCTGAAACCTCCTCAATGTACAGGAGTCCCCTGGAAGAATAGGCAGAACTGGTTCCAATGCTCTACTAGCATCTCTAATAGAGCTGAATGAGAAGATTAAGTGGATGAAACACCACTCAGGTGCACAAGAAAGAGAACTAAACATGCAAAACCAAAGTGGTCAATCTATTTGGACAGAAAAAATAGAATTAAAATAGAAATAAAAAAGAAAAGGAAGAAGGAAAGGAGTGATTACCCTAGCCGGAAGGCTAAGTAAATGTGAAGAAATATGCTACGCAATGCTGACACAACTCACATCTTGATCCAAGAATTCCACCACAGAAATAGAGCACGCATCATTAGAGCAAGAAACTAAAATTGGTACTGCTGTTATATCCAGGAAGAAAACTACACAAACAAGGTAAGGTCCCAGCAATGATCACCTTTAGAGGCAACAATAATTCACTAAATCAATACTCTCAACTTATTTGTATTGAAATATATTGACATAAGTATTCCAGTAAAGGTAAAACTTTCTATTAATAGTACATTCACTAATACAATAACCTAATAATCTTCTGTGTTCAGCTAATAGCTATATATTATGTTTTGGATATAGGGTTCTCCCCAGAACTTCTGTGTTAATGCAGGAATGTTCAGAGATAAAATGATTGAACTGTGAAAGCTGTAACCTAATCAGTCCTTCCTAGTGAATGGACTGACTGGATGGTAACTGTAGGCAGGTGGGTCATAGGGGTGTGTCTTGGAAGGGTGCATCTGTCCTGCAGCTCCTCCCCCTCCTCTCTTTCTATTTTTTGACCTCACCAGGAACTGAGCAGTTTTCCTCTGCTGGGCCCTCACCTTGGGCCTAGAGCAATGGATTCAGCCATCTCTGGACTAATAACCTCTGAAATCATGAGCCCCAAATAAACTTTCCTCTTCTAAGTTGTTTTTGTTGGGTATTTTGGTCACAGCAATACAAAAGCTGACTAAAACACTCTGTATCATTTGCCCACATTGTTAGCATTAGTGAAAAAAATACAAACAGACTGACTATATCAACTATAAACCTAATGATAATATAAATCTATTTTAATTGGCCAAACAAAAATTATTTCCTGATATGTTAATAAATACCTTAACCTCCCGAAGGTTCATGCATTCTTCCCAGGAATAAAACTTTCTTTTCATTCTAGAAGAGAAGAAAGAAACAGCATACTTATTTCCCAAAATAAACTTTTTTTTTAAAAAAAGCATTTTCATTCTGAACCTAGTCAATACTGCTTGAAGTTGGTTTCAATTTCTACCAAATAATATAGCATCCAAAACAACTTTTTTTTTTTTAAAGAGAGAGAGTTTTTAATATTTATTTTTTAGTTTTTCAGTGGACACAACATCTTTGTTTGTATGTGGTGCTGAGGATCGAACCTGGGCCGCACACATGCCAGGCGAGCGCGCTACGGCTTGAGCCACATCCCCAGCCCCCAAAACAACATTTTAAAAAGTGTTGTTAAATGTTGACATTACAATCAAGCCTAAGTCACAAAATTGCCCAGCAGTGGTGATATGGTACAGTGCAAAGAGCCTGTACTTTCTCTACTACTAATGCGCTAACTTGTCCTGGAGGGAAATCTCTCGGGCTGCTTCTGTCTGGATCAGAGCTGTCCAGCAGAGCTTTCTGTGTTGGTGAAAATGTTCTCTGCTGTCTGGTATAGTAGCCACTAGATCTGTGACTACTGAACCCTTGGAATGTGGCTAGTGCAATGTAGGAACTGAATTTTAATTTCAATTAAATTTAAATTTAAATATTGTATATGGTAGCTCACTAATATATTGGACAGCACAGTTCTAGACCCTCTAGTACAGGATGGGCAAATGATGACTCACAGGACATATCCACCCCAACATTTGTTTTATGTAGTCGATGAGCTAAGAATGGCATTTGCATTTTAAATTTAATTGGGGAAAACAACTCAAAAGATGAATAATATTTTGTAATATGTGAAAATTATATGCAATCAAAATTTAGTTTCCATAAATGAAAGTTTATGGGAACACAGTCATACTCACTCATTTGTTTTTATGCTGCCCTGTGAAACAGATGGAATAAATGAGGAGAGCAAGATACAGAGAAGGTACACAGCTTTCCCACTGCTGGTTACTAACAGACCAACCTCCATCTCTCCAGATCACTCCAACACATTTTCCCTTGTCACAGTGTTTCCTGGTTGAGTGGTCAATTCCTTTATTCATGGTAAATATTATTTATCTCCTCTATGTGGTAGGGACTTTGTAGGCACTAGGGGTAAAGTGATGAGAAAGATGTCTCTCCTGGAACTAATGGTTGTAGTAGGAGGTAAACAATAATTTTCTGCACTAAGTGCTATGAAGAAAAGACATAGGGCAATATGAGAATGGATCTCAGAGGGTTGGAATCTAGTCTTAGGTATCAGGGAACACTTCTCTAATGAAAAGATATTTCAACCCATACCTGAAGGATGAGAAGAATTTAGTAGGAGAAATGAAGTGGACATCTGAAATAAAGGATCTAAGCAGAAAGGTATTTGAGGAGTTCAAGAAGCAGAGACCGAAGCAAAAAATAGGCAAGGGATCAGTGACAAGAGACAAGGCTGAAGCAAACAGGACCCAGTCAAATGATGCAGCAATTTGTAGGTCACATTTAAAATGTAGTTCTTAGTCCTAAAACTGACAGGAAGACATTGAAAGCAATCTAGTTTGTACGCTCCTCCAAAAGCAGAGGCAAGGACTCGGGTACAGATAGTTTATTTGGGAGATGATTCCAGAAAGTCAGAGCAAAGAGCAGAGAAACGGTGAAGAGACGGGAAGCTCAATAAGCAGCACATGACTGAGCTGGTACCAAGGTGGGCAAGTGGGGCTCAGGCCTATTGGGGACACTGAAAGTCAGGGGGGATCAGGGGCTGTGATGGGGCAGCAGGACTCAAAAAAGGCTTGCTGCAAATGGTTTTAGTCAATTAGATTCATGTGCTTAGGATAATCTCTTCAGTCTGGTAGGAAGAGGGGAATGAATGGAAACCTGCAGCCCTGCAGAGGACCTAATGGTCAGTTGGTGAAGGGGTTAATGAGGCCTTCAGTGGGAATACAGAGAAGTAGGAGGATTAGACAAGGGATTGGTAGAATTGACAGGACTAGGTGACCAAAGGTGAGGCATAAGGGGAGGGAAGTCAGGAGGATTCTCAGGTTTTGAAGAGATGGTAGTATCATTTATGAACACGAGGAATACTGATAGAGAAAAAGACTGGGGTAAGAGAGGAAGAGTAGGTTGAATATGAGTTCAGTCTGATGCATTTGCAATGTCTGCAGGACATCCAAACACAGCTGGCAGGAAGGCAACTGGCCACAGATGAGCACAGCAGGCATACTCTAATGTGGATCCCAAAGACCTCCCACTCCCGGTATTAGAGCCTCATGTGACCCCCTTCTCCTTCAATGACTTGCTTCTAACCAATATAGCAATTTCAGAGGATGTCATTTCTGTGATTAGTTTATAAAAGGAAAAGATAACACTTCTACCTTAGAAGACTCTAAAGCAAACTATCATCCTGTGAGTTGCTCTTGAAGAGCCCCCCCCCAGGTCAAGGAACTAAAGGCCAGCCTCCAGCCAACAGCCAACAGGGAACTGAGGCCCTCAGTCCAACACACTACGTACTCAATGCTCCTGTAATCATATGAGTGAGTTTGGGAGTGAGTTCTTCCCCAGTCCAGCCTTCAGTGAGACCCTGGTCCTGGCTAGTACCTTGACTGCACCCTTTTAAAACACTATCCCTACACTAGAGAACTCAGCTAAGATGTGCTGATCCACAGAAATCGAAAGATGATAAATGTGTTGTTTTAAACTGCTAGGTATTGGAGTAGCTTATTATACAGCAACAGATAACTACATAATATGTCTGGACACTGGCTGCAAAGATCAAGAAGGTAGAGGGAACAAGACAGAAGTCATCAGATCACCACACATGTAAATACGCAAGCACAGAAATTGTATCCTCTCCTGTAAAATGATGTTTATTCATCTGTTTACAAGATGAGAAAATACTATGGAAAAGTACTAGTGCATATAGACAGTACTAGTACTTCACTAGTACTTTTTCCAAGTGGTAAGTAGTAACCAGTAAGTGGTAAGTAAGTCTAAAGTGGAGATTTTGAAGGCCTCTAACAAGAGTACTACAGCATTAATACACTCATCTAATCCATAGTATAATCCATAGTAGTCATCAGCTAAGGTTCTTCTGCACAACCTCCCCCCATTCCCCTTTAAGATTGTTCCTAAGACCAGGACTGGAGAAGGTGGAGTGGAAACTATCTTGATAACATGTAGCTAAAGATGATGTCAGAAAAGTGAAGGATACAACTTACTTCTTAATGGCAATCAGTTCCCCAGACTCAATGCTTCTTCCTAGCAGGACGGAACCATAGGTTCCATCCCCAAGCTGCTTGATCGTTGTGTATCTATTCATGGTGTGCCTGCTCAGGCCGGACACTCATCTCAGGGCCGCGGCGGTTCAGTCCTGCAGTGGTAGCAGGCCTCCCCAGAGTGTAACCAGATTTTTCGATGGCAGCAACAGCACAAGGTATTCAATAGAACGTGACTATCTCCCAAATACATATTTTCAAAGATCAGTCTTCTGCCTATAGAGAAAAAAATGAGACAAGGACAAATGCTAATATACATTTTGAGTTTTTATATTTTGATAATCTAAATCAGGGGTCAGTGAACTGTAACTCCCAGTTCACCACCCAGTATTGTGAATAAAGTTTCATTGAGACAGAGTTATACCCACACACTTGCAGACTGTCTGTGGCTACAACAGCAAAGTTGATGTTTGTGACACTGTATGGCTTCCAAAGTCTCAAGTATTTACTGTCTGGCTCTTTACAGAAAAAAAAAACTGTTAACCCATGGTCTAAATAATGTTCTTTTCCAACACTTTATAAAACTAGAGATACCATGCTTAGAAAGTAATGAAATGAATCAGCTCCAATTCAATGCTTTTCTGCTGACCATTCTGAGCAAACTCTTCCCAATAACTATGGTTGGTGAAAATTGCTGACTTATGAAAATTAGTCCTAAATATACTGTTAGGTTCATTTCAGCTACAATTAACCATGTAAACATGTAAAAAGCCACAGAAGGCTAACATTAAGTTAAACAAAAAGAGAATCAGCATGTACTCCATAAACTCTTTGTGGCTAAGCATCAACAGTATTTTTTTTTTTACAACTAGACATTTAGAAGCTAAACAAAGAACTAACAATTCAAGATCTATAGAGTATGCCCCTTTTAATATAACTCAGTTTTGTGGTTTTTTAAAATAATAAGTCGCTGATTTTTTTCACTTATATAATTGAGAGTCAATCAGTCTGTCTGTAATTAAAAAAACTGAAATAATTTCAATGACTTTATACAATATTAATAACATGTAAATGCTTAAATAAGAATGATAAAGGTATATTTAAAAAATATATATGACTGTCAAACTAATAATCTGAAGAATGAAAAGATAGGAAATGACTGGAAGGATTTGACATTCTGTATCATCAAATACAGTCCATGCAGCTTCTCATTTGAGACAAGCTCCCATCAATAAATGTAGAAGGAAAGAGAAGAATAAGAAATTCACTATTAGATAAAGAAAATAAGATTTGTTTCATGCAAGGAACATTGATGGGTACAAATACCAATGGATGGGATTAACAGGATATCTGCATAGTCTTGGAGAATCTCTAAGATAAATTATTAACTTCAAGGAGAAATATGGTAATTTCACAAGAAGAAATTCAGCAGAAACCCCTTTACCCAAGTGATTAAGTTCAAGACCATCATTAATTTCCTGCTTTCGATCATCATTCTATGGTTATCTAAGATTTTAGTATTAGAAGCTGGATGAAGGGTTTCTAGAACTTGCAGTACTATTTTTGTAAACTTTCTGTTTAAAATTAGTTCAAATTTTTTTTAAAAATTAAAAATATAGACTGTGTTCTCCTGAAGGGTATGTGTGAGATTGAGAAGCCTAAAGAAAAACAAGGTCATGACTGATTTCACCATACTCCACATATAACTGAAAGGGACTCTGGAGATCTAGCAAGGACCTACTCATTCCTCTTTCCCCTGGAACCATTTTAAAACCACTGGTTAGAGGTTTCCTCTTAAAACCCTTTAGGATCAGACTCTACAATTTCCTTAGGCAGCTCTTTACAGTGATGTACTCTGCTGCTAATTAATACATACCTATGAAGCACCTCCTATGTGACAGATCCTATATTTAAGTTCTGGGGATACAAAGAACAATAAAAATATGGTCCCCTCTTTCAAAGAACTTAGAATCTCAAAGCAGGAAATAAAAGTGGGAGGCCATATACTCCTTATGAATACAAACTAAGGTATTCCAAGTTTGGTTAGGGTGTCAGCTGTGGGAGGGGGAAGGAGAAAGTCCCTTTGGCTTCCAACTGGGTAAATCCCATGTGAGTTCAGGAGGCAGTAAGAAAACCGTGTCAAAAACAAATTAAGTCAGAAAAAGTAGGGGTTTTTTTTGTGTGGCAGATAGGGGTTCTAACATTCCAAGGAATAGAAATGAAGGCATAGGGGCTTAACCTGGAACTGGGGAGAAGGTGGGGAACATGAAACTGCAAGGAAACAATCCCTGAGTTTTATTTTGGAGGACTTTGGATGGCATTTTAAAGGCATAGGCTTTAGCAGGTGTGGTGGCATATGCCTACAATCCCAAAGATTCTGAAAGCTGAGGGGGAAGGATCCCAAGTTCAAGGCCAACCTCAGCAACTTAAATAGACCTTTAACAACTTAGTAAGACCCTGTCTCAAAAGAAAAAAATAAAAAGGTCTAGGGATGCAGCTCAGTGGTAAAGCACCCCTGATTTAACTCCTAGTATCCTCCTCCCCCCAAAAAGAGACTTCAACTGAATTCTGTACTGGAAAAGAAAAAAAATGCTATCAAGGACACTATTTGGTCAATGGGAACAACTGGAATATGGACAATAGATTAGAAAAAGCTAGAATCTGTTAAATTTACTGAAGATGATGCCTGTGTACCATCAAAAGAACACAGTCTTATTTTTGGAAAACGTACCCTGAAGAATTTACAAACAGAGGAATTTATCTGTAAAGGAATTGACAGAGTCTCCTGACTTACCATGTGGTTATGTCTTGAAAAAACCACTGTAAATTGAAAATGCATTTAATAGACCTAACATCCCAAACATCATAGCTTGGCTTAACTATCTCCAAAGTGCTCAAAACATTTACATTAGCCTACAGCTGGGGAAAATCATCGAGACTTACAAAGTCTATTTTATGATAAAATATTGAATACCTTATGTACACAAAGAGATAAAATTCATAGACATGATGGGATGTGAAAACACAAAATATAAGATCTAAAAAGTGCTGGCAACATAGTATGCTGTAGATTATCAGCTGCTTCTCCTCTGATGGTGTGCCCGACTGGGAACTGGGGCTCACTGATGCTTCTCAACAATGAGAGAGAGTACAGTAATAAATATTGCTAGGTTGAGAAAAGATCAAAACCCAAAATTCAAAGTATGGTCTCCACCTAATACATGTCACTTTCACACTAACATAAAGTTGAAAAACTCTTTAAGTCGAACCATTGTAAAGTCAAGGATCATTTATACTCTCAAGTGAGTAGAACAAAATTGTGTGTGTGTGTGCTCACCTGCACAAAGCTTCAGGGAACAAACAGGGTAAAATGTTAACAGTAGGTAAATCTTGGTAAAGGATAAATTATGTTCTGAATTGTATCTCCCTCCCTCGAATTTGTAATTTAAAGCTCAAACTCCCAATGTGACTGTATTTGGAGAATGAGCCTAAAAAGATAATTAGGTTAAATGAGGTCATAGGTCATAAAGGCAGGACCCTGATAAGAAAGGATGAGTGTTGCACAGTCCCTGCCATGAGGGCCTTCTGCAAGCCATATACCTAAAAGCTAGAAGAGAGCCCTTGCCTGCAGAAGTGCAATCCTATGAGAACCTTGGTCTTAGACTTCACAGTCTCTTGAACAATGAGAAAATAAATTTCTGATGTTTAAGACACCCAATCTATGATACCTTGTTTTGGTGGCCTGAGCCAACCAAGGATATATGAAGTTGTTTGTGCTGCTCTTATAACTTTCCTGCAAATTTCAAATTATTAATGATTAAAAGTGTTAAAAATTCTCCTCAAAATGGTACAGGAATTAAATCTTTAAAATAATAGGTACGTCTTACTAAACATTTTATTTTAGCTCAAAAAACAAAAGTGTAGGGGCTGGGGTTGTGGCTCAGTGGGGAGGCCTTGGGTTTAATCCTCAGCACCACATTAAAAAATAAATAAATAAATAAAGGTATTGTGTCCAACTAAAAAATAAATATTAAAAAAAAAAGTGTAGACTTATTTAATGTTGAGTTGTTCAGAAGACAACACTGTAAGAGCGTTCCTCTGCCTATGGTCACTATACGGTGGAGCGTTTTAGATTCAGGGTACACTTCAACATAACATAAAAAGGGCATCTGGGTCACAGCATCAACAACCATGGCTATGCATTGTTTACTACTCTTTTTCTTCTTTCTCATATTTATCTTCATCTATTTTTTGACATAGCACATATGTTTTCTATAGCATCATATTTATTTATAATAATTTATTTCTCTAACAAATTAAAATTTCCAACCCATCATTGCATGTCATCTCCCTTTAAAAAATAAATCACTGGAAATTTGATTTGTCAAAAATCATCTAATAAGCTATGTCTTTTATTAAAAAAAAAAGGCAGCGTTGTCCTAGAGATAACATGGTCAATTAAGGTTTTATTTTGTTGTTGTCGTTAGTTTGTTTGTCGTATTTTAACCAGGGTATAACATAATCAAGATTGCACTTTATAATCCAGTTAGAAAATTTTAATTCATGTTCAAGCAAAGCTAATTTAAATTAATTTCTTCGTGTTTAATTTTTTGTGTATATAATGAAACCATGTCATAATTGTATGCACGTGAAATTAGTAATCAAGTGTGTGCCTTTCAGCCTTCTTCTACCCTAATTGCACAACCTTTTCTCATAGGACCTATTTTCCACTCCTTTAATTATCTTTGGCATTCATCTTTGAATCCTCACATACTTCTCCATTTCCTTGATGAATTCTGGTGACCAAAACTTAATAATGATCTATGTTGGGCTGAGGATGTGGCTCAGTGGTACAGCGCTGGCCTACCAAGTACAAGGCCCTGAGTTCAGTCCCAGCACCACAAAAATAAATAAACACATAAAGATTTAAGAAATAATAATAATGATCTATGTTAGAGTGATAGTTCTTTTTTTTGCATTGGCATGACCAATTATTAATAAATAATAATCTACCAATTATTACTAAATAATAATAATAGAAATCTTTCTGTGACAGCTAATGCCTCAATTAAGATGTATAATTAGATCAAGATTTTCCTAGATTATCATGGAGAAAACTGAATGAATTGAAAACTTTACTGAAATGGAGATAGATTGGGTCCCCCAACACAATGGCAAACACCTGTAAAACACCAGCTACTCAGGAGGATGAGGCAGGAGGATCCCAAGTTTGAGGTTAGCTTGGGCAACTTAGCAAGATCTTGTCTCAAAATAAA